CAAGCTTGCCCAGCGCTCACTTCTTCGCCAAGCCGGTCAACTTAAACAAGAGGAAGTGGGTGCGTATTAACTCTGACTTAAGCTGAAGGGCTTGGACAGCTGTTTCCACTTCACAAAGCCATGAATTAAGCGCGAGGCGCTTCGGGCCCTCGCCGCTATAGCACGAGACGCCGCGTTTGACGACGTCAGACCCTGTGGCAACCGCGGGAGTTGAGGCTAACCGACGCAAATCGGCGAGTTCGAGGTTAAAACAGTCCTCGATAGCAACATGCTGTAGCCGCTCAGGCGTGTCTTTAGCATGGCGAAAACGGTAGTTATACCGGCCACGTTCGCAAGGCGACGCAAGGCTTCCCACTCAAAAGAGGTTAGATGCTGGAATTCAACATGAAGTGCATTCCTTCCGCAGCGCTTTGAATAGGCAGAGTCTCATCTTCGTTAGAAGAACTACGAAGTGCTATAGGTGAAACAGGGTAAGGAACCGTTACTTGACTTACACTAAAAGGAATCGTTGAGGAACACGCGTTAATAAACGCGTGTTTAGTTAATTCAAATTCAACTCTGTTTTATATTTATAATTTTATCATAAGTTCGAGTAATTTTCAAACGTCTGAGAGCCACTCGATATAAAGGTCGCATCCTATTAATTGATAATGGGCCTGATTCCCACATATCAGCAAATAGGAAAACGATATGCTGTACCCACTATATCAAGTACAGAATATACCTAATTATGTAATGTATGTACTTAGCTAAGTCTACTTATGAATTAAACTGCTAGATCGTACCTAGTAGGATGTGCACGGTACACCCCGTACCTAATTAAGGGCTTCAGCTTTCAGCAACCGATAGCCGAAGGCGTGGCTGATATCAGCCGTGTTGCGATTTGCAAGAAGGTGGAAGCGTTTCCTATAACGCGTTTTGACGCATTACAGTGCGTCATAGACGCTATGGCTGGAAGCCAGGATGTTTAAAAGGAACACGCGGATGCCAAAGAAAGGCAGGAAAAACGAACATGATTTCAAAGTGGGAGATTTTGTTTTATTGAATGCTAGGAATTCACCGACACGTGCAGTGTCTGCGGTATATAAAACCAAACAATGTCCGCTTTATTGGACCTTTTAAGGTCATAAGTTTGAAAGGCTTAGCCTATACGCTGAACCCTCCAAAGAAGATGCGAACACACCCTGTGTTCTATGTGGGCTTACCAAAGCCATATCTCAACCCTGCCTCGGTGGACTTCTAGGGGTTGTACCCATACCCCCGGCCGAAGGAGGCGGGTAGTACGGCACAGTAGTGCATATGGACGCTGGAGGCGTACCAGGAGGTCAAGCTGACATCGAAGCTCGGTTTGAGAACGCTCAATCACCGCTAAGCGATCCGGAGGAAGGCTCGAAGGAACGACGGTGTCGATCGACACGGTCATCGAGAGATGACAGGTGAGACTTCAACGATGCAAGAGCATCACGTTCCAGGAGTGTCATGCGACACTCGATATCAGATATCAGAAATATGAGAGGTCAACGGGTCATCGGCCTCCTCCGATGCTGATTGATTCATCAACAGTTCCACGTGGAACGTCTATTGGCTCGGCGTCGTCACCAGGGTCATACCCACTACTTGGTGAAGTGGAGGAGTCGTACGACTCGTGGGAGTATGAGGTACCCCTATGGCAGGACCGCCTTGACGCCGTTGACGCTTTTGACCATGACGGTTAGAAACGAGGACAGTTGTCGTCGGAAATTTCCTAGCACTAAGTGCTGTGGAAGTAGGGTCAGTAGGATAGCTTCGCCTCTGACCTTCAGAAGAAGCCAACGCCGGTACATCACTTCCGTGAGAGGTACGGGCAACAGCTTCAAAAGCTTGACCCCCACAAGTATTTTACTTGTATGTGGAGGATAATGTGCGCTTAGCTTTGAGCTTTGCGAAATTAAAACGTAGACGACGTTTTATCCAAAAGCCCTGCCTCTTAGCGCTTAATCGCAAGTCGGAAAGACAGGAGACCTTACAAGCTCGTTCAAACCAACGGGTGAACTGTTGATCGATCATCTTGCGCAGATGTTTCACCTGGTGCTAGCACCACTAGTATATAGTTTAGTGGATGCACTGGCACTTCACGTGACTGTCGTGACAGTTGCTCCTGTTACGATTTCATCGTAAACTCCTGTGGAGTAAGAAGCCACTTATAAAGCGCGGCACGACCCGTAACCTCTCAAGCGGTGCGGGTCTGATACCCAATAACATTCGTACGCAATGATTGCGGCGCAGCTCGTCGAGCTTCGTCATTGAGGTCCTGGAGCACGAACCCACAGTCACGTCGCGAAAAGGGCTGTTTGGGCCGCGCCAAGGCGGCTGCTCGGGACTCGTCATCAAGTTGACGACGCTGTGCAGCGTCAAGCGAGTTTGTTACCTCTTCGTTGCACCCTCTCTCGAGGGAAGGGGTGGCGCTGGCAAAATGCGGTTATCTCCTTTGGGGGAGAAGACACAGAATGGGACCGTTGTCCCTCGCTCGGTGAGCGTGATGATCTTGGGGTACTATGACCCGAAGGAGACTCGACACCGCTACCCCTAGAGGCAACGTCACTGTCATCGTTCCCAAAGATGTCGCGACGCATCGTCCATAATAGAGGAAGCGCAATATGGATAACCGCTTTGAAAGCAAGTATTGGGAGCACTGTAATGCTTGAAAGCAAGTGTTTGCTAACACTAATGGGTATAAATATCAAGTGCGAGGCTCTTAGCGCTTATAAGCAAATGTCGTAACACTAAATGCTTTAGCGTAAGTGCAATGCACTGTATGGTTAAAGGGCAAGTGTCGTAACACTATGATGCTTAGAAGCGTGTGTACGAAGCACAGGTGCTCAAGGAGCAAGTTTCAGAACATTGACGCTTTGTTCGCAAGTGCAAGCACTTATTGCGAAGCAAGCAAAATTGGAAGAAAATGAAATCGATGCCTCCCAGTAAGTGCAAAAAAATCGTGGGTACGTCGGGTCCCACTGATTGGTGGGGGGAGGGTGTAACGGTGTTACACGAAGGTGTGAATTTTACATACACACCTGCCATACAAATGTGGTGTGGCTGTACCTTGGGTACAGTGGTAGGTAATGTGACCGTACCTAATGTACGAAGGGTCGCATCGTGGCAGAGAGCCACGTGGTCACTATACTTAGTTAAGTATAGTGACTATGCATGTTTACCTAATAATAATAGGCTATAGAGCCAGTAAATAGTGACTAGCACTAAGTATAGAGTAGGTGCTTCTAGATCTAGTGCTGGATGATAAACATAAACATAAATCAGTTTCAAAATTTGCTCTGAATAGCACAATGCTAGAGCGTTCTATTCCTTTATAAGGAATTGTATCTTTGATACTGGTCTCTTGGAGACGTGGTTGCTTGCAACCAAAGGCATAAGCTTGCAAAGCTAGCCTTGTGTGGGTTAAGAACCCTAAGACACATTAGCTCTTTGAGCTTGTCTTCCTCTGCACGTAGTGCATAAGTAGCTGGGCTACAAGGGACGTCTAGGGAACTGGGTTGCCTCTTGTCCCAATGGACTATGGAAATTGTTCTGTGTAATAAGGGCGAAGACCAAATACTGGGGGCGCTAGCAGCCTGTGTTACCCCTAGCGAAAGTGTGGACTCATATTGTCGTCAATTGTCCCCAAGAAACAGGCGCGACAAGTGGTTAACCTACCTACACCCACTGTGGAGCCCGATGAAGAGTTATACGTTATGAGTTTAATGGGTCGGCCCGTGTGAAACAGGAAGGTGGAGCCTGTAGTGCTATTGTATGGAGACCACCCACTTTTACTGTCGTCAAGGCTACCTCAAAATACCTCGTTACATCAGCAGTAATTGAGGTGGAATATGAGGCACTACAACTATGCAAACAGCGCCTTATTTGTCTAGTTAGAAAATATTCAGCTCTGCATTCAATTGCTTTCTGCGTCTTCCGTAGTTTACAACAGATGAACGAGACCTTGTTGACGCCATTAACCGCAAACATGAAGCTGTTTCCAAATGCGATCACGCCGCTTTTTGCTGTCCATCTAATAAAAATGCGATCTAGCACTGGAAGACAGATTATGTTTTAGCATCAGCAGCAAGGGGAGGAACTCTCCGCATTTATGTCTTGTCGTTGGGATTATAACCAAATCTGTGGTCTTAGACTCGGCAATACAGTGAAGTTCCAACGGATAGTCAACAGCTATTCGTATTTGTCCATTAAATTGCCAAGTCTCGTGCCAATGATATCGTGTAGAAGAATCTAAAGTTTGTATACGACTACAGTCTAGCAAGTGTTCTAATACATCTATTAATGTGTCATAGTGTAATGTTACCCAACAGAGTTTTTATCAAACTCTTTCACATATAATCTACCAATTTTCAAACGGATAAATAAGGAACATTTGGACATGAGAGCGGATAATATAGAAAACCATTTCGATATTATCTAGGAGATAAGAGTGGCGTTTTGGAATGCAATTGCTCGTTACTTTCTTGCAGCCAATCATTGTTGTTGTGCTTCTAACGACTAGTTCAAAGGCTACGCCTAAATATGTTTGAACGTTGCCTCAATACAATAATCAAGCTAGTTTGATTATGTAGTTAGATTCGACCCTAAAACTTATTTAATTATCAATTCTAGACATGGAAGAATATAAAAATAACATCACATACACGTTGTAGGATGCTTATTTACTTAAAGTATTATTACAATTAGTTATAATATTATTATTAGATAATAAAAAAAGGAGGGGGGTCAAAGTTGTTATAATTGGAGCAAATTAACTAAGACGTAAGAAAAAAGCAACAGGCTCATTAAGTAGAAGAATCCTTCGAAGTTTATTACGTCACTTGTTTGTACTGTTGAGAGTGTGGTTGTGTTTCGTGGCAGTGAACCACCGCAAAGGAAGTATACGCTCACAGCAGGGCTACATTCAACAGCAACAACAGCAGCAGGCGACAGCGTCTTCTCAAGAGTTTTCAGTTTACCAGCACCAGATGCAGGCTCAGGCTTCACAAAACGGTTACCAATATCAGCAGTATCAGAAGCAGCTGCAACAACAACAACCGAGCAAGGTACCAGGAGTTTACCTCAACAGGACTGAAGGATATCGCAGTGCTAACATCACTACTGCACGCCTTGGAACACAGAAAACTGCCATCTCGGGATCCAAAATGGGCATCAAGAGCGGCATGACGGTGGAAGATCTTAAGCGACTGACACAAAAGAGAATGCAACAGTCAGGGACAAGCAATCCAGGCACGCCCAAGACGTCTGGACCTGAAAGTTTTGCGTCGTCGAGACCAGCCACACCCAATATCAATATGGCTGTAGTGAATGCATCAGCTACACAAGCAGCAGTAGCTACTCCACCGATTGTACCTAAGACTGGCATGTCTGTGCAGGAGTTAAAGCAGCTTACGGCGCTACGGGTGGCGTCGCAAAATGCTCCAGTTCACGCAAGTGAAGTTACAGGACTTGTAAGCAAAGCAGTGCTGAATAATGCTGCCAAATCACGCTACCGTGATACCCTACGTAGCTCACTTACTCCGGTAAATACACCGAAGCGTGCAAATTACACGCGAAGTAACAGCAGCACGCAGTATAGCGGATTTGGATACGATTTAAGTTGCAGTCACGGCGAAACTATGAGCTCGGGATTGGGTAATGCGAACTTAGGTCGTGGACATCGTAGTCGTTCGCGTAGCTCTCAGCTGCCGAATATAGACTCACCTGCGGGCAACACAGCCATGCGCTATTCATACACTGGCGGTCAAACGACTGAGGATTATTTCTCTTCTTACGAATTTGGAGGACTTGACGGCGGTAATTCAACTTCTTCTCAGGAAACAGACACTGGTCGTGGCAGTCTTGACGACGGCATGACGTTCGCTCGCAATTCTTTATTGCAGTTCCCCCAAGATTCGTTTCCACCTCCACCGCCGATGGACGAAAGTGGTGGATTTGTATCTACGGCACTACCCTCTTGGTCTCCTCCTCCAGCTCGAACTAAGAAGCTTAACGCTTCCGCAAGTAGGGGTGCCACTTTTTACAATCAGCAAACGTCGTACTACAATATCGCATCAAGGGATGAATCAGCACCAGCAAGTGATACTGTTTTTAGCATGAGTCAAGCCCAGGATCAGCACTCCGCGCTAGCACCGCCACCTGGACTTACTAGGCGGTCTTCGATGACGGTGCCATGGCAAGTAGCTGAGGCTGTACTTATGACACCACAGACCAATGCTGGGCGTAAAAAGCTGGATTTGGATTCGGAAAACAATTTGGGCGGACTAAATTTGTCCGCTGCTGAAGCTGCAGCGCAACTTACCCGATTGTCATTACAGCCAACAGCGCGATCCGGTATGCAACCACCACCTCCGCCTTTGTCATCCTCAGCGACATTGTCAAGCTCCCCATCAAGCTTAACTGGTATTCCACAACTTGGAGGTACCAGCGCAGTTAGGCGTGGCAGCTTTGGCAATGCTGCCGAGTTTTTTAAGTTCCGTCGGCGTAGCAAAAGCCGCCTCGAACTTGCACGTGATTTGTCTCATAGCGATAATGGGGAGATTGGCGGGTGTTCAAGTTCTGGTACTGCTGGTGCAATGCCCGGAATAGCTGAGCGACTCGGTGATGCTGATGACGCAATTCACGAAGATTCTGACTCGAATACATCTATTTCAGCTAAGGATGAATCGAGCTCGCAAGATTACACAGACGAAGATCTTGTGCAGGTTACTGGTGGCTATGAGGATACAGCTGAAATTCCGGGCAGCTTTGTGTCCTTCTATCATAGCACTCGACAGCAACAGGGTGGTCTTACAGTGCTATCAATCCCCCCCCCTCCCCCGCCACCGCCGATGACAGATGATAATGACGAGGCTTCTACCACGTCATCGACGAAAGGCAATGGTTTGCCTATGATGAGTCCAAACGGTGCGCGGCTTCGAAAGGTTGCAGAATTGGCCCGTCATGGTAGCTTAAGCAGCGAGGACAAGACTCGCGCCAAGGACGAAATTATTCAGAGTTCTTTGGGAGTTGGTGCGAACAGCGCGGCCCGGCTGCTAGCTGCTAAGAAGGAAGATCGAGGAGACCGTGTTCCTGCCACGGCGCTGTCAGTGACAATCCCACCCGGGTTTCCTGGTATGCCACGATCGACGCCGAAGGCCTGTGCTAAGAAAATTCTTGCGCGTGGATCTGGGATTGTACGTAGCAATGCAGTCGACCGTGTGGGTTTAAGTGGCACATCTGCCGGTGCAGCTGCAGCAGCTGCGGCTCTTGGTGCCAGTACGGTATTATCGAGTCAATCTGCCACTTCTCAGCAAGGTGAAGCTGTTGATAGCAGCTTTTTGGAAGAGCGGCTTTCTGCTGCAGCACAAAAGGTTGCAGATTGCGTTGGCAAGAGTGATATGACAGGGTTTCAGCAGGCTATGGACGAGCTAGACTGGCTTCGCAATGAAGCTAGTAAGATTATGCGCGGTTAAGAATTTGTTGAATAAGCGTAGCAGCAGCGTATTAGAAATTAACCAAAACCTCAGCTTAGATATCAAGAGAAAAGAGATTTTCCACTCGAGAGACAGTGGACAGTCTATTCTAAGCCCGACGTACGAATCAAATTCAACATAAACGTGCAACCATCAAGTGTTATCTTGATGATTTCACGCTTAACGTTACTGCTTCACGCTAAAGCAAAATTTTGTACTTTTCCGTGGATGGCACTTGGTTAATAGCAAGGTAACCATCATACGACACGGAGGCAAACATCCAGGCGTCTCCTCCAGCAGTCCACCGCGCAGCATACACAGCATCCTCGTGATCTTCAACTCGTTGAATCAGCATATCCGTCGCACTTGCACCATCTGCCGTTTCATCTATAAGATCACGCTCATCCAGCTCAACAAATGGCGATGACGAGATTGACGACGCGCGCCAAAGTGCCAACGTCGCGTCTGATCCGCTCGAGAGGACAAGTTGGTCATGCTGTGGATGATATTGCGTGCTCCAGACCCAGTGTGAGTGCGCATTCAACGTTAACAATGACATTTTGGCATTGCGCAAATCCCAGAATTTAAGTTTACCATCATCCCCGCCACTAGCAATCGCATGCGGTTTGTTTGGGTTAAAATCAAGCGACAGTGTTGCACTCAAATGTGCATCCTCGACACTCATGGTGTCTTGTTTTGCACGAAGATCCCACATTCGCACATTGCCACCTAGAGCATAAGCCAGCCTTGATGCGTGGTGCGGGTCCCAAGTCAACGCAGTGGCCTTTATTTTCGTAAAATTTCCGAGCATTGAAACGTCCAGCTCCACCTTATTTTGTGCATTTATCGATCCTCCATGCATTTGCCACGTGCATAGCAGCGTCTCATGCACTGATGCTAACATTGACGTGTCCGTTACAGCATTCCAAGTAATTCTATAGAAATAAATTTAATTGTAACAATCAGTTTAAGACTGTATCAATTGAAATAACGTGACCCAATCTATCATCATCACTATTCGTACTCTGAAACTCGTGATTTCTGTACTGGTAAAGCCGCTAATAGCTCCAAATCTTGCATTCTTGCACCAGTACCAGCTATTTCGTCATTTTCTTCAATTGGATCGAACTTTGTCGCTGGCAATTTCCATAATAAAGCGTTTACCGCTTCACATTGTTGTTTCTTCCCACATGTGACCAATAATTCTCGATTTTGAGGACACGGTGCAAGACTCAGCACTTCTCCAGCGTGACGGAATGATTGTCGCGTATTGACGCTAGTGGCGCCACCATTCGCTTCAATCACATGGATCTAAACAGATTAAAAAGTAGTCCTAAGATAATAGTCCTGCACTCTATAAATTGTTATAACAAATAGATCAAAACCTGATTGGGCTCGATCAACGAACTAGTCCCAACGAAAAACTGTGCACGGTTCTTTTCCGCTAGCACGGGCTCTAATGTTCGAACCTGAATGTAAATTATAGACAATAGACATTATTTAATATAAGCAATGAAATGTGTGTCGGTATATGTAGATATAGCAATCTTGATTCACTTTTGCGTCAATGCTGATGCTACAAGCGTGAGTCTGAAACATAGTGCAAATGGTCAAAAACTAGTAGATATTACAACGATGAGCTAAATTTAGAAATCTAGAATCGATTCAAATTCTTACAATATTTACAAAACAAGACGATAATTAAATGTTGTCAAAATATAAATTAATCTCTTGTCATTTGTCAAAATTCCTAAATCCCTCATGTCATTACAATTCCTAGGAGTAGAACGAAAATATACTGAAGAAATTCGGGGGGTAGGACTGAGACTGCGCAATGTACGCTGTGTGCGATGTGGTGACTGGGGCCATCAGAGTGGAGATATAGAGTGTAAATTACGGTACCAGAATCCTAATGGTGAGTTAGCTAATTGATGCTTGCAAATGAAGAGCTAATGATGTAAATAGAAGCTGCTAGACTAAGATGGGAGGATCTAATGACAGAGATCAACAAGTTCAAGTCAGAGTTGGTGCTTCAAAGAGGAGCTGTACCTTTGGAAATGCAAGAAGGACAGCAAATGTAGTTTGAGATTTTACAGTCCGACGACGGTAAGAGATGACTTGATTGGTGAAATTGAGAATGTTTGGACTGAAAGATGCTGCGGTTTTTGGCGATAGATAAAGCCAAAAAAGCTTTTTTTTGGGAAAATGCCGATTAAGCGAAGAAAAAGGTCGATGAAGAAGCATAAAAAAAGTGTACTAGTAGTAGTGACAGTAATTCAGACTTTGGTATGTCAGATCATCGTTACCGTTCCAAGAAAAAGAGTTCAACCAAGCACAAGCGTAAACACAAACGTTGCTCTAAAACCCGATCGAATCACGTGAGCTCTTCTCGACGTCGTAATGTGTCGTTATTGCCACTATAAAAACAGGGCCTCTTGGACTCGAAACATTCACACCCACCGAAATTTTAAGAGAGTATTATGGGGGCTAGTCAATATCGTTGGATAACAACAACAGGAACTTATACGACTGCAACCTAAAGCAAGCCTCAGTAAAAAGTATGACACAATTTAGCTATAAGATCAAATTATGAAGTCACCGACAACGACTACACAACTGGGACCCCAGTAGCAGAATGCACGGCAATCAAAACACGAGCGGTAGCGCGAGGGATAGCAGGGACTGCATTATTATGCATTGGCGGTGCCGTAGGAGGCACCCGTGACGACAGCCATTCCCGAACCCATACCTGAGGCTGGAGGACGGCTGCACTCCACTCAAGCGTAATTTGCAAACACAGCCGATACGTAAAAGCACACAACACACGCATATTAGGCATCAAAGATGTAAATTCAGTGCAACTAAAAGGTTACCTTTCTTCCATAAGTGACTGACACAGATTAATTGCCAGCATAGCCGCAATAACTGCTGCCCCCTCCCCGGCGCATGAACGGATGGCAATATCCATGCACTGTGCTGACTCTGAATAACTCTCGTGCTTAATCGAAACTGCAATGAGGTACCAGACAATGACAAGGCCCGCAATCAAATCTTGTGCGTATCGTGACGTAAGCAATCCCAGCAAAATTACGACGCAGAGATACGAAACGTAAGTCGTGAGGCGCAAATAACCATGATTTGAATGCTGCATTGACATCGCAAGCTCAGTGAAGGCGACGGTTGTGACCCAAGCAAAATACGCCGAAATGGGAAGCTCATTACAGAGGTAAAGGATCCAGTCGAATGGTCCAGTCTCGCGTGCGGTCCGATCGTTAACGGCATAAACGTAGAGTACCAACAACACTAGCCACAACGCGTAGATAACCACGGTTGAGGCGTACACGTGCCCTGACACGTACAAGAACACCCAGATCGTGTTCAGGATGCACGTTACGCCGAAGCAAAAACGTAACTGGGCTGGTTGATTGGCGTCGGCAAACATTGAGTACCGCGGGGCAAACACATCAACGACAACAAGCACCGCTTCCAGAGCGTAAACGAGAATCCACATCGCAAAGGCGTAACTTGCAGGTGTGATCAACGTTTCATAGTCACGTGCTACCGACACGAACCGTTTCGCATACACAATGTTCACAACAGCTTGCATGACGAATAGCGCAGCATTGATAATGGCAAACCAGGTACCTTCCATTGTGACAACTGCGTTTCTGGTAACAAGTATACAAAATGAATAGTGGTGGTTGGATAGCTAAAGCCATAATGCTCAACAGCATAGTAATACGTGTATAACGGCGTGATGTCTTCATTTGTGACAGTTTATAGTTCAAGCAGGGACAAGAGCCATTGATGCTGACATTCCTTGAAAGTATTTTGACGCTTCTCAGGCTGCCAGAATCCTCTTCACACTGTCCCATATACAGCATTACCTACTGTTCCAAGTATTTTATTTACTTCAATGTGATTAACGGTTGTGCTTCAAATTTTGAGAAAGTGGTAAAGCTCCTAGCAGGGTATGCAACTATTACTAGGGCAGCCGTCGTCTGTGTCGTTTCGATCTCTCACTCACACGTAGTCTGGAAGCATGCATAGAGTCTGACATCAGACATACAAGCTCAACAGACTTTCGCAAACCTTCAGTTCATGCTTGGATGAACAATATATTTCTTGTTATTTCCTAAGCCATGCATAATCGTTCGCTTTGTGCCAGCACAAATTCGCGCGCCCCCAAACATTTTCGGTTACTCGAGTGAGCGCTTATGCATCATCCAAAATATTGCCGACGTGTACCGTCTTGGCGAGCTTCAGGTTGACGAACTTTGCCGATTAAGCTGATCCTGTTATGTGGCACTTTCATTTGTAGCCTCAACAGCAACGATGTATTTCTGTCATAAGCGCATCGGTAACTTGACCTCGGTGTCATGGTTGCAAGTTCAAGACAAGGTGTATATTATATGAAACATATTCCTTCTCATTCGGTTTACGTACAAATCAGTTGCACCGTTGACCGGGGAGGTAATGAGTCGTCCACTTCAGACAGATAATTTTTTGCTCTAGGCAGCAAAAGTACTCTCTTCATTAGAAGCAGGCTTTTTCTATCGCTTGAAAGCGCCGGACCACTAGTAATGGAATACATGGAGCGATGCGATTTATATTGTACTCGCCAACAAGGAGAGGTTCAAGCCTAGCCGTTACTGATAGTATTGATGCTGACGTCTTGATTACTAGCTATACGAGACAAATTAAAAACCAATAAGAATTGAAACAAAAGACACGGGTGCGTATGTCGTCGAGCACAAAAAGCATCCAAAGCTTTTCAATTTGAAAAGTTTGGCGACCGCAATCCACTACAACGTCCGATTGCAGCATCTTAGCCCGTCGAAAGCATATCGACTCGGCCACTGCAGTCTCGCCGGGCAGCATCGCAGGCAAGTTGTCATGGGTGACAGCAGCTGCTGGTATTCGAAGTTGTACTAACAGCTAATCGCAGTGAAGGTTGTGACTGAGCACGTCGTCCAAAGCTTGTCAAAACAAGCAAAGAGTCTGATCAGAAATTAATCTGAAAAATAGAGGCTTCGATGAAGTGCCAATTTCACTTGGAGCTGCTTTCGACTTGACTTGTGATTCTTTCTTTACCAACGACCCGGAGCTCAGGAACTAAAGAAGACTCGTTAGTAACTTTTCAGATAAGTGCGTGAGCTTTGACTGACACAGCTAAACCACCTAAGCTCTTTCAAAAGCTTTTACCGCCGCCGGCAAACGCCATTTCTACTTGCTCTACCTCGCCTTCGCACCATAGTGCTAACTCAGAAACGAAAATGAAAGGAAATGAACCTTGTTCTCGTTTGGCTTACAACGCGCAATTGGTCTGAGGAAAGACCAGCAAGCCGTTTGCCTTGCTCGCAACTTTATGAGGGGAAGAAATTCGACGCCAGGCCGGAGAACAAGATTTTCATGGAGGAGCAATCACTCGACGTCTGAACCTGATATCTTCCCTCTTTTAATGGATGCTAAGTTCATTTAACTGTTAGCATTAGCATTTCTTAATCCTCCGATCTGGCTAATTGCAAGAAAATTCCAACTGGTTCAGCGTCTGTGACTATATCGTCACCTTAAGCAATTTCCAAAGCTAGTAACGAATGCAGCTAGGCAAACCAAACAGCTTATAAAGCTCGTTTGAAGGCATCTTAGACAGCCCTGGAGCATACTAGCCACTCCCAGAGCACCGCTCAGAGTGCTGACCGCTGTGAGAGGGATATCGCTAGCTCGCATGAGGGAAATTAAGAATATCCATCGTCTTAGTTGAGGGCACTGTATATTGTACATCCCACCATATTGTTCTGAAGAACTTTCTCGCGAAAAAACGGTGTTTGAGCCGAGATAGTGGCTGCATTCAGCTCATTGTAAGCATGCACTGTTCGCCACTTCCCATTTGGCTTCCTCCCACAAAATGTGGGCGTTGAGTGAGGAGACTTACTCTCACGCACCATGCCAGCCGCGTGCTTCGCACGAAAGATCTCATCAATGGCGTCACAGTGTTCTCGTAGCAGCGGCCTCTGTCGCGTCACACAGCATTTGAACCAAGTCAACTTCATGACATACACCGCTATTTGGAGGCAACCTCGTAGGAGGTTCTCTGGATACAACATCGCCATATTTCTTTAACAAAGGAAAAAAAGGATCCGATAGGTCCTTCAGGATCTGCGATCCACTGCGAGCATTCAGCGCCTTCTTGGTATCCTCAAGAACTGCTTTATCCAAAAGCGATGAGGAGTTCAGCTCCTCCTCAGGTCTTGTATAACAACCACTTCATCGATTTTGCCTGCCTGTAAAGAAATGCCACTTGGCAAAGGACAACTCGTCCAGCTCTAACCGAGCACTTACTGCGGGTATAGCTGAAAGAGCCACCGGCTCTTCAACATCCCCAGTCAAACCATTGAAGAGTGTATATCGCTGTTTGCTATCACTGTCACTCACGATATCATCATCGCTACTCATGATGCTCTTAGCTAGCATCTGACGCCTCAGCGTCCGCAGGTGTACACACATTAAGGTCACAGGCCACTTCGTTTACTGGCTGCACCCCACCCTCTAAGGTCAATGCCTCGTCATGAGGTGTTCGCCCCTCGTTGTCTTCAAAGAAAGACAACCGTCATTTTTGACTTCACCCGACCCTCTTGGGCCAGTACCTTGTCACTAGGTTCTTGCATCACGTTATCCTCAAATATAACATCCATTGATGACTTCATCCGACTCTCTAGGGTCAATACCCCGTCATTAGGTGTATGCACCTCGTTATCCTCAAACATAACATCCACTGATGACTTCACTTGATCCTCCAGGGTCAGCACCTCGTCGTTAGGTGCTGCACCTCGTTGTTCTCAAAGACAACATACATTTGTGACTTCACCCGGCCCTCCAGGGTCAGTTTCTCGTCACTCATGTCACTTGGACTCATGTCCTGACATCTTGGCTTGCAGTCACCAACACCACTCACGGTGTTTAATAATGTAACATCATTCTCATGACACTTGTCATATGTGCCATCTAGTGGGCTCTCAACCACACTATCGACAGTCATTGGGCCTCGCCTAGGACAATTGTCCTCGACACTCACAGTGTCTACAAAGTCGGATAACCTGACATCCAACCAATTTACCGACTCGGTCCAATATCCGCGCCAAAAGCACTTTTGCTTTCTAGCAGAGGTGGATTCATGACTCTCCAGAGCCCCACCAGGAGCAATGCGCGTTGCGCCTAAGGCCTCCGACCTCCAATCAGTGCGTTCTAGCCATGCCATGCCTAGGATGAGGTCATACCTCGCATCCAGGTCTAAGGCCAAACAGCTGTTAAAGTCCAAGAACTTTACATTTAAGTCCATCGGGACTTTGGGTACCGTCACACGCATACCAGTCGCTAAGCAAACTGTGACTGTGTCACTCTAACGCGCTACAAGCGCTTCAGCATACTGCTGACTACCTTCCACGGTGGCACGGCGCACATAATTGCCCGATGCTCCCGAATCGATCAAAATGATGCATGGCTTATCATAGCCCTTAATCGTCCCTTCGACGACTAGCAAGCCTGGCTTGCATTCTCGTTCCGTTTTTGAGCGTTTAGATTGTTTTGAGGATGGGCCCTGTTTACTTCTACCTTCTCAAAGTTCAACAGAACTCAGTTCTTTCCCAGTAGGGCTCCCCGCGCCTACTGGTTCCGCCGTCTCCTGCGGCAAATCAGAAGGTTTATCCATGGGTCGTTGGCCCTTCGAGGCCAAATATGCTTTCTTGATGAGCATTCTGCCATCAAATGGCGTGTGCTCTGGCAGATATAACATCGGCGCACAATTTGCTGCTCCGCAGCTTGGAGCTCAGATTCTTCATCTTCAACTTGACTAACCTCGGTCCTTAGTCCTCTGTTCTTTATCCCAAGGTCAAGCTATCCTAGCCAATCAGAATCAAGAACAAGGTCTAAAGGCAAGATTAGTGTAAAGTAGTTGTAAGATAAGACTGTATTAAATACTATTTAAGTTGCGATCTACGTAGCACGCCCTCGTCGCGCTCATAAGGAACTTGTAAAAGTCCTGTTTTGGAAAGGGATATATTTTGGCCCCCATCAAAGACAGTTGTGTGGTAAGACCCAATTGCGAAGAGAGCCCCAGGATATTTTTGGTCTGTGGATTTGTCTACGTAGCATCCCCCCCAATAGACCCGCTATTGACCTGCTATCGGAAGCAGTCTCCCTTGTTCGGGAGCAAGTAAAGTTCAGGCGATTAAAATCCCTGAGGTATTTAGGAAAAGGCCAGGGTTGGAAATCCCCCTAAAGAATTTGGTTATAAGCCACCCTCGACCTAGTCGACCGAGTGGCCACCTACTTACCTACCGAGTGAACTATATCCACTCAAGGGTACCCCAAGGCCGAACTCTTTTAAGGCCGACTACTTGGCGTCCGGGGTGAAATAATAACGGGTCTTGTACACCCACACCTGGCGTATCCTGACCCTGCAGGCCAGGCTACGTGGTCGTGCCATTTTACAATTGGCCTCCACCTGTGCCGGCGGTTGCACAATGCCCTCTGCATAAGCTGACCGGTGCGCACTAAAGTACTTGAATGGTGAGACATTTCGGCCAGCGTATGGAGGGAGGAGTGCGCCCCAAAGCCTGGAGGCTTACGCCTGCCACAACTCCGATAGCTGATCCAAAAACACTTGTCTTCTGATGCTGTTGGACCGGTCAAGCCTGTGAGAAGTGCATCACACGCATGCGCTCGGACAAGCCCTAGTGCCCACCCGAGCACTACCGACTTTTCATCATGGCGGTGTCGACGCCGATGTCGAGACCATCAACTACCTCAGATGGTGCAGCAACTCCGGCAAAACCAAACGTTGGGCATAACCTGTTAGATGTTGCAAGTGTACTGGTTGTACAGCCGGTAGAACTATGGTAATATATTTCCCATTATCAATCACTACGCCTAGTGCTAATGAATGACATGCAACCACATGCATATGGGACGGGTATGCGATAGCACTGCAACTTGATCGTCTGCCTTGCATCCCATTACGCGCTAGGTGATTGATTCCTATGCTCACCTGGTAGGAACGATCCTTGTCAGTCGATCAAGTGTGGGCACATCTTACCTATAACGGTCTTGACGTCCAACTTGCACTTGACTTGACCTGTTCCAACCAATAGTATCTAACAGGCTGGCTTTAAAGGCCGGACCGACAAGGTTCGCAAAAAATGCCTCGCGAGGTGAGGTCACCGTCGGGGGAAGGCGTACAATGTTTTCACGGAATTTGGCTGAAGCTTCGAGGTTTTTGGACCCTCATACGGCTGAACTGCTGTCTAAATTTTTACAATATAAAAATGATCAGTGTTGGTCCGATGAATATTTCAAAAACATCTTTTTTATCTGCTTTTGGGGTGCATATGAAAGCCACAATGGTGATGGCGCAGATCAAAAGATTTTCATTTGACGGCCATAAAAGAAGCGCGAATTGAGCAAAACTGACCGATTGTAAGACTCAGAACCAAAGCTGACCGATTGTAAGACTCAGAACCAAAGCTGACCTACATGCACTTGTTTCAATTGCCCTCATGATCCTGACAAAGGTTGTGACTCATCCATTAACGATTCCCCCAAATATGTCTTCGTAGTACTTTACACAATGCAAAAAAGCATTTGTACATGTCTTCAATAAGTGCTTTTCGTTCTCGTCGCGCTGTCATATTTTAATAATGTCAAAAACGTTCTCACCTTGTAACATTGCCGCATGGCTGTCGATTCTATTCTGGCATGTGTTCAACTTATTATAACTGCTACGGTAGCTACTAACCAGAGCTATGCAGAGCCTTCTTCCACAGTAGCAACGCACGGTATGCAAATAGCAAGAAATCTTGCTGAGTAATTATACAATCTGCGTTGCAGTCCATGACTTCCATCAAAAGACTTAACTCATCTTCAGTCGCGTAAGCATCTGCCCATTACAAGAAAAAGGTCAGTATCAGACGTGTTGCGATGGAACTAGCGACAATATCAATCGTACCGCTATCTTGCTCAGCGAGAAGAACAACAAAGCTTTCTTCGACAAGAACACCACTACCGTCGAGGTCCAGAATTGAAAAGCTTAACTTTAAGGCTTGCCATTGCGCCTTCGTAAATACATTAATGCCGCTTCCCTGAAAAGGGATGTGACCCTGAAGAGTATTGGTTAGCTGCGCCACCTGCTCAAACGACGGCACTGGCATCCAGTCCGTCATGCTCTTCCGTCTAACAGGACTAACGTTTTCCGTAACAGTGTCGTTAGCATCGCTGTCCGTTACGGCCTCATCGATGGAAGCTGAGCGCTTCGAAGAGGGTATCCAAATTGCCCCCTTGTCTAAATGAATTGAACCAGAAGTAATCTCGGACCCGCACTTATTTACACAATCCCGAGCAAAATACCGATCGTAGAAGCGCACGAAACCGGGACAAAACTTCCAGCCGCTTACAATTCGATTTGTGCCCCACTTCTTCTCCTTCTGCTTGTTTTGCAACTTCATCTTTAGTTCCTTTCTCCTCACTTCCTTCTGAATGTTTTGCTTCAATTTCTTGGCCTTAGCAGCCTCAGTACATTTCGTTTCCGCAACAACTTCCCAATCTTGCAACGATTCGCTGACTACTTCGTGAACGTCTCTAGCGCTACGCTCAATGTCCTTACCTTTCGCATCAATTATCGAAACTGAACATAGCGGGGTCACGGAAATCTCCACGTCTTCCCCGAGTTTTGTTGCTAGGAAAGTAGATGGCGCACACAGCGAAGAAACCAACGACAACGTTTGAGGCGACTCTGACGCCATACTGGCTGCCCGTTCAAGTGTGAACCGCAATTGCCGGCACACATTTACCAAATTGTAAAAGTCAATCGGCAAAAACGGTAAATTTTTTTCCAAAAACGCCACGACCGCCTCATGTTCACTCGGCCGAGTGAATTCAAACTCGAAATGTTGACTACGCTTGTGCTGCTGGTATTGCAGCAAGCGGCCATTTTGCTTTTCCCATGGAATCTTCAAAGTCGCTCCAACATTGTGGTTTGTATTACAATACTCTGGAGCAGAAAAGACTGTCACAACTGCAGGTAAAACTAATCCTCCAACTTCATCCTCTTCTAAGCGATCCGCTTCGTGACAAAAGTGCTCTTTGTAGCCGTCTTCTGCCAGCTCGTGAGCGCGAATAATAGCAAGAAGATTGTTACGTCGTAAAAACTTGCGGCATGTGTGCTCGTTGAACGTAAAGGAGCAGCCACGCGTACCATTAGGTGCCCACTCCTGTTCTTGTGCCTCACCTTTAGCTGGATCTGACCATAGCAAGTCACACAGAGCTCCGCTCGGTTCTGGTTCCATAAAGCGATTAACTTGATAGTTGATATCCTCCACAAACATGATGTCTGGTGATAGTCCGCCATGCACAGCGAGGAATGCGCCATGAGCTGTCTCAAGTCGTGCGGCCAGTGGCATACTCTCAAAGCATTTAATCATGCGGTTATACATCACAGGCCCATATTTCTTTAAACATTCTGCACGAAAACCGTAAAACGTACTCAAACTGCGGCACTCGTGATTACCACGCAGCAAATGTACACTCTCGGGAGAAGCTACTTTATACGCCAACAGGAGCAAAATTATTTCGCAGGAAGAAATGCCGCGATCCACGTAATCTCCGAGAAACAAAAACGGATTGTCAACAGCCGGCGAGCCGTGAACGCGAAACAGCTCTAACAAGTCTTGAAACTGGCCATGGAGATCACCCACTAGAGTGTACGGTGCACGTATAGAAACGACGTTCTGTTCCAACGACATGAGTTTGGTAGCGCGTTGTACAAGTTCTAGCGCGCTACCCACAGGGACGGTATTTCCCAGCAGAAATACTGCCAAAATTTCGTCTGGTTTCAGCACGTGGATATCCTGCTTCTCTGTGATAATGTTGTCATTATTCGTCTCACTCTCCAGAGCTTCTGCTACAACTGCAGTGGCAGTTATGATGGGTATACTAGCAAAGTATTCCACTGTCTCGCTGCTGATATCGCGGTCTGCTTGTTGACGCAAATAACGATTGAACAGGGTTGTGTCAGTGGATACGCGACGGCGATGCAAACCCTGTCTACTGGCCATACGCATAGGTTCCGCTTCCGGTTTGGTGTCCAGTTTCGTGCCGCTGCTGGTGGGCATGAGATTAAAAGTCGATACGTTATTTGTCCTCTTTTTCACCTTCATTTTGGCTGCAGTCGCTTGAATAGCCATAAAACTTTCAAGTGGCGATGGTCGTCTCACGTTCCTATCGTCCACAGGTTCATCCTGTTTCAGATTCATACTGTTTGCGTCCACTTGAACGCTTTGACTTGCGTTGTATTCACATTGCGATGACAGCCGTTGATGACATCGTATTGACAGTTTTGGTGTAGTTGGCGTAAAAGAACTGACGTTCTCAGGTGCCGTCATTGACTCTAGATGTGAAAAACTCAGTGCAGCGGGGGCTGATTTAGGTGGTCCAGATGTAGTAGCATTGGCAGGAACGGAAGCCAGGAAAGCATTTAGTTTACTTGTCATAATGACTCTTAGCGTAATTGATAAATAAAATACCAAAAAGAGACAACAAAAATCTGAGTTCAATACAGGACAATACTGCAGAACTTACTTAGGATCCCTATAATGAATATATAACGCAATTGGGTAGTTGTAATTGATGATTTACAAAGCTGAACTTGATAATTTTCAAGATACGAGTGCTACTAATTTGAACAATACACGCCCCGAACACTGTTGCTTTACCCCCTTTCTCTCTTTCTCTTTTTTTTACTTGTATTTAACCGCTTGATTGTTACAGAAAAAGGCAACAAAACTGTGTATCGGCAAGTATTTTACAAACCTTTCAAACTGGTTGGTTACTTGACGAAAAAACCCATATAGAGAGCATTCTCGACAAGTCAACACAATTCGATTGATAAACAGTTCAGCACAAATAGAGCTAAAATAACGTCCATGAAGCATGATGCTATAGAGTCTCTTTGAAAATCTAGTAATGAAGAAAAATGGTAATGCATTTATTTTTTTTTTTAGTAGCCAAAGGCTAACCACTTGATCTAATCAGGTACTTTGCTGTCGACATTTTTACAAGTACCAAGTAGTTTTGTTCGATAAACGACACGAAAACAATACGTGACGGTCTCTGAACCAAAAAGGCTTCGTTCTTGTCGTCTAATCCCCTATGCCTTACTTACATACGCATACTTCTGACAATCTTCAGATTCCAAATGAGCTCATGCAGGAGCGCGTCAAACTCTGGGAAATACAAGGTCAAAAACAGCGTTGTTGAAATTGTTGTCGCACCCGAAACATAATGCCATCGATTGTGCCACTTGTCGTAACGCTCGCCGCCAGGCATGCCACAATAAAGCCACGTGAAAACGCAAAGCGAGGCCAGCAACACCTTTACTGTTAGAATGCCGTACCACTCATTGGAAAGGCTACGATGCCAAGAAAATATAAAGACAAGGCCTAGTGTGCCACTGATGAGCGCATCCAACAGCAAATACTTGGTCTCCTTAGAGCGATGAAACATGGTGGACGCGATGGCTGCGCCCATTTGCAGTACACCACAAAGTTTTTGATCACAACTGAATGACATAATTGCCGCTAGCGCATACACCAAGTTGGAGTAGATAAGCCTGTCGCACCACGCGCGCTTGGTCTGGCGACGGCGCGTCTTGCGTAGAGGCCGTGAGGTCTTGACGGACACAGGCTTGGACAGTTTCAGACGATGATCACACGTAGGCGCCTGATGCGGCAGGAATGGCTGCAAATTGAACGAACATAGGCACATGCTATGAAAAGAGTACTGAATAAATTGAGAAAGAGTGGGAGCTTGTGGGCTACTAAAGAAAGACCGTGAGTGGTGTCCGATGTGCGCTAAAGGCGATAGCCCAATGACGTACGGCTATCGGAAGGTCTGTCGCAGCTATTGGACAAACACAAATTTAGATTGGTGGTATAAGGATAAAATTGGAATGGAAAAAAAGCTTCAGTGACGACAGCAACGAAAGTTGTAAATTACAAAAAAAATGATGAAATAGAGCGTATTTATAATAGGAATTAAAGACATTTTGATCTGAATCGTCTTGATTGTTGATATATGTAACAGACACCATAGGTCTCAATTGTTTAGACTACTGCATCAACACTGCATAGCGCTAAAAAATGCCAAAAGGTGGATAAAGAATACTGCTATACGACTCAATATTCACCATAGCTACGACAAGAGCAATTTAACTCGCTTTTCATCGCAACAGAGTGTTGTTCTAGTTCGTATGGTATAATGCCTGTTAAATAGTTGCTAGTGGCATGCTATGCATTGGCCCAGTCGAATGAAGCAACGTGGCGACCGTTTAGCAGCGGGTGGCTGCGACATGTTGCGGCAAATGCGCGTTGGCAAACCACCGATTAGATCCAACTTTTGCCACAGACTGATTGAAGGTCGCACGAAGAACCCGATCCTAGTGCTTTTATGTGAGCCACGTTTGCACAACATTCTGATGACAATAAGATCAATACCACTAAGACCAATCAAGCCACTAACTGCTCTAACATCATACACCAATGGCAACAAATTCACCTGCCTCCTCCGACCCCGCGGTGCAGACGGGTTTCTCTGCTCTCGTGCTGGACCTACCCACTCCCCCCTACTCCCCCCTTCCTCCGTTTCTATCAATGAGAAGCTCACCAATCTCGCGGCTATTACTGGCGCTTCGCTGTCTATTGAAGCTGAGAAAGAGCTGCGCGCGCTCTTTGCTCAGAAGCCGCATCCCATTGCCTATGATCGATTTGAACCATCGGGCCGTGTGACGATCGCTGCTGGCCTGCTGCGTGTACTAAATTCCTGGCGCCTCATGGACGTCGGCTGCCACGTGCGTCTGCTCGTGGCAGACTCGCACGCGCTGCTAAACAACAAGTTTGGTGGAGATTTGAAGAAGCTGCAAAGTGTGAGCACTTACATGGTGGAGGTATGGAAAGCACTTGGACTTGACGCTGACAAGACGCCAAACCTTGAAATTATACTGGCCTCTACAGAGACCGCGCGTCACGCCGATGCATATTGGTCGCGGGTGCTTGATGCCGCTGGCCGCTTCACAGTTGAACGTGTGCAGCAATGCGCCCCTATAATGGGACGCAAAGAGGATGATGTTGTGCAGAACACGAATCGAATTTTGTACCCGCTGATGCAGCTGGCTGACGGATTTTTACTGCAGGCCGATATATACCAGCATGGAGCCGACCAGGAATGTGGCAATGATCTTGTTCGCGAGTACATTGTGCACAAGAATATACCTAACAAACCAGTGTTCCTTACGCACCCGCTGCTGCTTGGTCTGAAGCAGGAGCAGTTCAAGATGTCCACAACAGACCCTGAGTCAGCTATCTACATGGATGACACAGCTTCTGAGGTCAAGGCTAAGATCAAAAAGGCTTATTGTGTGCCTGGTGAGGTGGAAGGCAACCCCGTACTGAATTATATGAAATACGTCGTGTTTCCTTTTCATGCAGAGGGTGTTACGCTAGAGCGTAGCGACAAAAACGGCGGCCATTTAACCTTTGCAACCTACGGAGAGCTGGAAGCGGCGTTTTTGAGCGAGAAAGTGCATCCAGCGGATTTAAAACCGTGTTTGGCCAAATACCTTAATGCGTTACTCGAGCCCGTACGCCAGCACTTTGCTAGCGGGCCTCTAAAGACTCTGCTCTCAAGCATCAAGAAGCTCAAGGTTTCCCCGACACCTGACAGCGACAAGCTGGTTCACCTTTCGCTGCCTGGATTTCCAGAGACTGTTAAAGAATGGAAGCCATCCACGCTATCGCTTGAAGAGCGCTATGCAGTGGCGCGCTCAGTAGGCGAGGAATGCATTCAAGAGAGCGAACTTCGAGTTTTGATGGAAAAGAAAGACCATCCTGTGTGTTATGATGGCTTCGAACCTTCGGGACGCATGCATATTGCTCAGGGCGTTTTGCGTACGGTCAACGTAAACAAACTTACGTCGTCCGGCAGTGTCTTTCGCTTTTGGGTGGCGGACTGGTTTGCTATGTTGAATAACAAGATGGGTGGCGATCTGGACAAAATTCGTCTTGTGGGTCAGTACATGGTGGAAATTTGGAAGTCTGTGGGTATGGACATGACCAACGTGGAGTTTTTGTGGGCATCGAAGGAGATTATTTCCCATAGCTCGTCGTACTGGCTGCGCGTGATGGACATCGCTCGCCGCACCACCATTGCCCGAACGCTGAAGTGCTGTACGATTATGGGCCGTAAAGAGAAGGAAGGTATGCAGGCCGCGCAGATTCTCTACCCGCTGATGCAGTGTGCAGATATCTTCAACCTAAAGGCCGACATCTGCCAGCTGGGTATTGACCAACGCAAGATCAATATGCTCGCGCGCGATTATTGTGAACAGGCGAAGATTCGTTTTAAGCCTGTCGTGCTGAGTCATCACATGTTGATGGGTTTAAAGGAGGGTCAGGAGAAGATGTCTAAAAGTGACCCAGAGTCAGCCATATTCATGGAAGATGCTGCAGATGACGTAAGTCGAAAGATTGAGAATGCATTCTGTCCGGAGGGAGTTGTGGAGGCGAATCCAATCCTTGACTACATGAAGTTTATTATCTGCCCGCGTTTTGCTGCACAAGGGGTGACAGTGAAGCTTATAGATGGCACAGAAGAAACGTTTGTAGCTTATCAGAAGCTTGAAGACGCCTTCGTCATGCGTCAGATCATGGGCGCCGATCTCAAGAAGGCATTGACCCATTACCTGAACGAGTACGTTTGTTTTCTGATCTCTTGTTGTACTCTGTCACTAATTTTTTGTCTTTTGCTTTGTTTTGTAGGATTTTAGAACCTGTTCGTAAGCACTTTTGCAATGGTGAGGCTCTAGAACTACTTGCTAAGGTGCGCTCTTTCCGTACTACTAGATAAACAACATACAAAAGGGTCCGTAAAACAAAATTGGCCTTGATAGTTTTTCTTTGATACCGGAAAAATTGCCAGATGCATTCAAATAGTATAAAAGTTCTTATCCAACTGTCATTTCTGCACATCGACAATACAAATTAGAATCTGTGCTGAAACCCATCGACAGAGACAGAGATGACGCAACGCGTTTTTTGTTACAAGGCATTTCAATCGCGCAGTCTGGTTACACAAAGGTTTGTGTTATATATACACACCTGCCACACCATTGTGGTGTGGCTGTACTTTGGGTACATGGGTAGGTAAATGTGACTGTACCCAAGGTACAGACAGAGGTTCACATAGATAGTGACTAGCGGATGATGAACATTAAATAAATCAGTTTCAAACCTGCTCTGAATAGCATTTGTTGCTAAAGCGTTACGTCCTTGCATAAAAGAAATTTATCTCAAATACTGGTCTCTTGAAGACGTGGCTGTTGTAACCAAAAAGGCACAAGCTTGGAAAGTTAGCCTATGGTGGTTTGCTAACCCAAAGACGTAAAGCTCCGAGCTTGTCTTCCTCTGCACTTAGCGCATAAGTAGTTTTGCTGTGGTAGCTCTGCTAACTATTTGCACGTACCAAATGTGTAATGACTCTACATCGTAGCAGAAGGCCATAGCACAACTCGTGCGAGCATTCAAGAAGGTTCCCATTGTAAGTCCTGACCGGCAAAAGCTCAGCGTTTCATGGCAATCGCGTGTTTGGCTCTCCTTGTCGAGTCTGACAGGGCCCTGCCATGAATAGGCTCAAGGCTCATACCATCGGCGCCTATATATTAGGAACACAAAGAAACTGGAGGCTATAGTGTGCTACCGCACAGTTCCCGCACAGTAATCACGACGCGTCATCTCACGAGCATCAAACGCTTGACAAACGTGCCAACCAGATCGTGACCAAAGAACTATGCGTGTACCGTGTACTGGCGCGATTGCTGTCGAAGCTGTGATGATCATGGTGTTGCGCGGCCTAACCGCGCTCAATGGACGACGATGCTTTAAGTTTTAATTTAGTTATAGGGTGAGCACGAGGATCGGAAGGTACAAGAGACAATGATGCAAATGATCTAGCGTAGCTGCGTAATACGTCCTTTAATAACGCGATTGACCCGCTCAGTCCGACTGTCCGACTCACGGTAAGCGGCGGTAGACATCATCAGGCGGGTTCCGAGGATCTAGATTAGCCGAGACTAATATGCTGCTGTGAACGAGGCTGCAAATCTGAAATAATCGAGGCAGATGCCGGAAGACCATGTCGACGAAGAGAGCCGCTGTCTCTATTGAAGTGAAGAACGCAGCGACAGCTGAAAGTTGCACCATCCTACCAAATTGGTCAACGATCACCAAAACGCCAGTTCGCCCCTGCGCGTCGGCGAATAATTTAAACGCGAAATCTATTTTAAACTTATGGGCTTCACACGCTGACAAATTTTACAGGAGCAAACACACTTGTACATGTCTGGCCAATAAAATTCCTAAGACAGTGCAAATTATGTCCTCTTGCGGCCTATATGACTGCTCGGCGCACTACTTTAATTCTCGTGAAGAATACGTCCGCGAATATTGTCGTCAAGGCGGACGACGATACGTAGAGAACCGAAACTCTTGATATGGTAGGTGAGCAACTTACCATTAAAAGCATAGCGCAAGATGCGTCCGCGAGTGGAAGCCGAGAGTGACCGTAGCGCATCATCCGAGGATTTGCCCACTTATTAAACTAATGGCGAATAGAACACATCGCGGAGATACGCTTCCGCAATTTCAACGCAGAGAGATTTGATCGCAGACAAAGCTGTCGCGTGATACCGAGTGTAACGCAAGCCACACAGTCATCATTGTCCGTCTCTTGGGCGGCGAAAACAGAATCATCAGCACGGGATCGTAATCTGGACGTCGACACAACGCGTCAGCAATTATGTTGGTCAATCAGGCTTGTAGTGCATGACAAAGTTGCATTTCGCGAAAAAAAGACAACCAGCGCGCCATGCACTGGATGAGTTGTGGGCTCTCCGTGGCGGTACGCATAGACGCGTGGTTTGTTTGGATAGCGAATGTCTGCTTTCCAAACAAATAAACTTGAAACTTCTCGAGCGCATAGCATTGCAAGCAACTCCATGTCATCAATGGGATACTTGCTCTTGGCAGGATTTAGCTGCCGGATTGGTAGATAACCACGCGTTCCCGCCCCGCGGCATCATGTTACATCAGCGCACAGCCGATTGCAAAATCACTCGCGTCACAGACGATATAAAACTGCGCGTCATCATTCGGCAGCTCTAACACGAGCGCTGTCTAGAACCTCTTCTTGATCTCGTCGAATTCATCCTGATGCTCCTGACGCCACACCCACGCGGCGTCCTTCTTCAAGAGCTGTGATAATGAGTGATTCACTGCCGCAAAGTCATTAACGTAGTAATGAAGGTAGCTGGATGGACCTAAACATTGCCTAAGTTGTTCCTGGTCTTTCGAAACTGGCCATAGACAAATAATGAGACTTTCTCCGGATCAGCGCGAACACCAGTCGCGCTAGCGTAACTGCTTAAAACGGAGATGTCATCGGCACAGAGATGCATCCCTGCAACTTTACATACAGTTGGCTCCCACACATCGCCTCAAAAACTTTGGGAAGGTGACCAAGTTGACTACTTCCAATTCTGTTGCGCCATCATATGCGCGATTATGCACGAAGATGTCATCAATATTTTGGGCAAAGTCGCGAAATGGACGAAGCACGCGTGTAACCATGCGGTTCAGTGTAGCCGGGGAATACTTGAGCCCCTGCAAGCATGTCAAGCCACTCCAAGTATACCACTGAGCGTGCTGAAAGCAGTGTGTAAAGCATCTTGACGCCGCAACAATATCTAAGATAAGTAGTCGGTCAAATCCAAAGACGAGAAAAAATTATGTTCCTGACATGGCATCCGAAACCATGTTTTTTTGAGGAATTAAAGGCTGCGCCGAAATAGTCGCATTATTGAATGTGTTTAAAACCTGAAAAATGCGTCATACTCCCGTCGCCTTCTTGACACAGAAGGTAGGACTGAAGTGGGGAGACGCGCTCTCGCGCACGTGACCTGCGGTGCGACACCTTTCAAAGTAGGCGTCAATAGCTTCTACTCGGTCATTAAGGAGCGGTAATTGTCGTATAAAGAACCGGGCACGAAATCTATTTCGTGCCGCACGCCTCAACCCGCAGGTAGACCGCATGAATTTAGTCAGGAAAGACATGGGCAAACTTGCATGCAAGTTCGAAAACAAGAATTTGACGCAGCGAGTACTTTACCGGATTGCGCTGCAAATTTATCCATAAGTGCAGATTTAAGTTTCATTATTTGGCAAAGATTATGGTTGTTGAGCGCAGATTTTTAAGCGTCTAAACAGAGTTGTTTGATCTCTTTAATCTCCAGACCACGCATTATTTCATCCCGATACATTAAACAGCTGTATTTAACGAAATGCGTCGCAGGTGGACTTGCGACCAGTAGACAATGACTGCGCGGACCAAAACCCGTCATGTTAACGGCATTAGTGGTCTTGAATAGAGACTCCTGACAAAGAGATGGTGCCGACCAAAGGATAATGAACACAAACGCACCGCTCGTAGCGACTTCACATTTGAGGAACACACACCGGATTTACGATTGGTCGAAAGGTTGCCTCTACTTTCACGTGGTTTCTGCAGTAGATCCCGACACGGGAGCCACTTTTTTGTGCTCTTAGCGCATCAAGAGTATCTGCTTTGATGCGGTTTTATTTGAAATTGCGCCTATTCGCGTTTCGTACTCGCAGGGGTCCCATTGCTTGCTCGTGATAGATAATATACTCTTCCTTTGTAAACTTTTAGGAAATTGCTTACGCATTAAAGCCGCTGCTCAACCAAATGACACCCGTAGCCATTTTCTGCAGGTTGAATTCTTGACTAAGGAATCACTTTCAACTGAGAGTGAGCAGGTTGCTGAGCTACACGCCACACTTAATGGATATAATAAGTTGTGTAGTCAAAAGTTAGCCCGAACTATCTTGCTGTCGTCGCGTGTGCCGTCATCGAGAGGCTACTGCAAGAGAGAAGAAGAGAAGCTACGAAAACTTCTGGACTTGAGAGCTGGATAATACGCGGTGTTTGTCGCGCTCAAGTTGAATGCCTTTGCAGGAACTATAGACGAATTTTGCCGCGGCCGATTCCCTGAGAAAATAGCTGTAAGTCGTGCAGAGCTAGGCGTACAGCGACGAAACTGTACAACATGGTAGTAGAGTCGCTCACCGAGGCATTCATCAGAGCAAAGAAAATTTGTGGACTCTCGATGTCGGCAAATTCAGTCGAGATTACCGACAAAGGTATCAGCAATGACCGGTGTATTCTCGTCGCAAGCAGCCTCGGCCAAGATCGTCGATGACCGTTCTAGTACGAGTTGGTCAGGAGAAGGTCGACCGGAGGTGAGGTGTAAACCGAGGCCAGTAATTCATCCACAGGCTCCACTTGACTACAGTACATGGTAGCAGTCCCGTCAGACGAGTAGTTATGAGTGGCAGGCCTAGTGGCCTTGAAGATGGTCTCAGTATTCCATGCCACGCCAACAGCTTCCTCGAATGAGGACGAGTTTACCCGGAAGGTTTCCAATCTGGCAACGATAACTCGGTGGCCCTCCATAAAGACCGTGACGGTCACTGCCTCAGGCATAGGGTCTATGACTATGGCAGCAATACGAGTTCTCAGCTCTTGCACATATGACGCAATATCACACTTACCTTGGCAACACGCCAAAAATCGCGACCAAGTACAGTATGCTTGGTTTGGCGGTGCATACTGCCGGATCATCTGAATTTTCATATCGGTTCATGTGTGAAGTGCATCTTGCAGTGATGCATCACATGTGAATGCCCACTGTTTGGCTAATCCACCCAACTTGCCCGTGGCAAAGCCCACACGGTATGGTTCATAGGTGATGGCGTCTATAAACATAGCCGACTCGACCTGTCGGAACCAAAGCATAAGGTTGTCACCTTCTTTGCCGTCGAGCTTATCGACTTCTATTTGTATGGGTTTTGGTCTGAGGACCAATTTTTGCGCCATAGTCGCCATAGGCAAAGGCGCAGACGAAGGCATGTGAGCCTTTACATACTCTACAAGAGCAATATTGCATTTGCCAGGAATATGAATGCGCTTGTTGATGTAGTGGAGTGGCCTTACAAAACGTTGTGAAGAGACCCCAAACCACACACTGTGCCGAAGTGCCGACTGTTGGATGGGGTACCCGGATGACGCATATGTACATTCTCTTACCTTGTGTACCCGTCGGATGGCGGGTTGCACTCCTCGGAAGACTTGCTGAGGATGTAGATGCCGATCTTGAAAGAGATTGACGTAGGGGGCGGTGAATATGCTCCACTCGATGGGCTAGTGGGTAGCAACTTGATCGAGAGTGGACTTGTAGTCCTAATTCTTCAAGGGAGACTGTCGACCTTATACTTAACCTTAATTGTCTTATGGATGGTAACGTCTTGCCCTAAACTTGCTCTCGAACTACTAGGATAGGGAGACTGCTTCCAACAGTGTGTCGATTAAGGGGTGATAATCCTCAAATCGAAACCACATGCCCAATATATTTAGGGGTCCTTGCCTTGTAACTTGGTTCCTTATTAAAATTGGACAGGGTTTGCTCGATCCTTAGGAGCCGAGGTCGACCGATCAAAGACTATAGTCTTCTTTAAGGCATCGGGTAGACCAATGAGGAGACGAGGTCTACCGACGAGGTCGGGGTATAATGATGAGGGCACAAAGTCTACCAATACGGGACTGCGCTCCACTCTTTTCAGTACCGGTTGACCGGTACATCGGCATTGATTCTTGACTGCAAATCCTTTTTATCCACGTCGGCACATTCCTTTTGTCCGGCGCAATGCACCACAAGTATTGGCCATACAAGAAACAGTAAAAAAGAATACAGAAGCAGGTGAGCCGGAAAGCGACAATTTTGTTGACGATGATACGTCGGTCATTAGAAGAATGATTCAGAGCTGGTAAGTACCATATGAGACAGAACTGAATGTAGGCTGTGAGAGTCACCAGCGTGTCAATCTGTGTGCACAAGTCGCTTCCATCACAAATTGTCAATAAAGATGCAAGTCTGGAGCATCTGCGGCGTGGCTTTCGCCCATGAGATTCTCATTGTCGTGCACAAGGTATGTAACGGGGTTACACGAAGGTGTGTATTTTACATACACACCTGCCACACCAATGTGGTGTGGCTGTACCTGGTGTACAAAGTAGGTGATGTGACAGTACCTGAAGTACGAAGGGTCACATCGTGGCAGAGAGCCACGTGGTCGCTATACTTATTTAAAGTATAGTGACTAGCATATTTGCATAATAATAACAGGCTATAGAGCCAGTAAATAGTGACTAGCACTAAGTATAGAGTAGGTGCGTCTATACTTAGTGTTAGAAGATAAACATAAATACAAATTAGATTCAAACCTGCTCTGTATAGAATTAGTTGCTAGAGCGTACTATTCCTCCTGAGGAATTAAGTATCTTTGATACTAGGCTCTCTGAGACGCGGTTATATCAACTGATAGGCACAAGCTTACGAGCTAGCCTAGGAGGGTTAAGCACCCTAAGACGTAGAAGCTCTCTGAGCTTGTCTTCCTCTGCACATAGCGCATACGTAGCTTTGCTACAGTAGTCTGACGACTTCCTCTGCACATAGTGCATAAGTAGCGTAGCTACAGTAGCTCGGCTACAAGGTATGTATTGTCATTCTTTTGCATTTCTTTGTAAAAAACTGTTTTTTGATCACATTAGCAGGTCAGTTATTGTTACAGCCTTCTTGATGTATACCTAACATTTATCTGCCCTTGTTTGTTTATTCCTTTAGGCAGCGCTGGAGCTATACTTTAGGCAGTCTTAGTAGTTTTCCGTAGCTCAAGTGTTGCATTGTCTTGGTATTGATGAGCAGTACACTTGATTGCAAGGACTAATGATGCCTGTTGTCCGTCAGAACAGAGACAGGAGAGAAAGACAGCCATTTGTGTTACAATAACCAATGCGTTTGATTCACACACGTCTTGGGATCCAGTAGCTTGTAGACGGTGGAGACTAAAGCGAAAGCAGTTGCAACGGCGACAGTCGGTATTGTGCAGGCGCGAATGTTTATTGTGGTAATCAGACGCGTAGCTCAAAATTATTGTGCTTTTTGCTGCAAGGCCAAGCAGCACCCAGATAACCACCTCCTAGATGACGGCAGACAGCGTCGCCAGAAGGTATTCATTGGCGATGCGCTACTGCTATGATTATCAGCTATGTTAAGACAACAGGCTCCAGCAAAGTTGACGCTGAGGTCCAACTCACTGCACATGTAACGTTTGAAGTCGCAGCGGTACCGTGACGCTTTGTCAATATACGCGGAGAGGGCGAAGAGAAAGAGTACTACCAGGAGCATTCGCATGGCTACGTTTACGTATTTAATTGTGACGAAAACGATCCCTAACATGTTTATAAAGCAGGAAACGATACAGAGAGAGCGCAGGATATTGGCGATTAGCGCGCTCAGCAAAAGGACTCCAACTGACACGGCCAGATAGAGTCTTAGTACTGACATGGGGCGTTTGGTGTGATGACGTTTTATATTGTCGCAATATACGCGTCCAATACTACGTACTAATAACTTGTTCACATCAAGCTGCGGTACCAATTAGTTTGTTGCAATGGAACGCTTCGTTAGACTTGGCTCTGCAGTAAATGAATGTGTTACGGTATCTCACGACTCGACTGAGATACCTTTGACATTTGTAGAATACCTTTATATGACGCTACTTTCCATTAATATGCTCGAGCTAACTTAGTAGTGGTGATTCAATATCTAAACGGCCTTAAACGGTGCTACACGACGTGAAGTAATGGCACGATGGCGTGTAAACCGGCATTGGGTCTCGACTTACTGGTGCTTGATGGTTGGCGTCAAAGGTCATGAGACTGCAGAAGATGGCGAGCTCTTCGCAGCCAAGCGCCAGTGGAGCTTCATGGAGGTTTGTCGGTAGGACAAACTCCGTGTCGAGTTCGTCAGGTTTCGTCTTAACCTCAGCATTGACGAAAGCACCGCTGGTCACCACTCCATCGACAGTGCGCGGCGATTGTTTAGCAATGGTACTGATCGTTTCGTCCTCGAACGACTCGGACTTGCAGGATGAATAGAGCGGCGAGAGCGTAGAGCGCTGCAACCGTTTCTTGCGGTCTAGTTTCTTCTGATTCAAGTTGGCTCGTTCACGGTGAAATTCGCACAGCTTGTGCAGCTTTCCATTCCGTTTCAAGGCTTGTAGGTTCTGGCACTTGCCCGTTCGGTAGCCGCAGCGAGTGGGAACAACTCCTATTGACTTCATGTTTGGCTTGGTTTTTGTGACCCGCTCCTTTTTGTTGGCCAGACGTACGGCCGACGCTTGACGAAGGACCTTTCTGCTACTACGATTAGAACGAAGGGTAGGCGAGGAAATGCCGACGGCCCCGTTTAAGGGTGGGCCAAACAGCATTCCTAGCTCCTCCTCCGATAGCGGGATGGCGTCTAACATTGTGACTGACCAAAAAACAATCTCCCGCTGATGTGATTGTTGTGTACAAGGCAAGATCCCAAGTGGGGTCTCAATTGAAGCGTAGCAGCTGAGGCGGGTGGGTTGGTCTTGACAGCGGGTGGCAACAGACAGGCCCTAGATCGATCATAGACCGACCAGCTTTCATCGCGCTCTGCTCCCGCGATTTACTGTGGGACAATGGGCTGCGCGGGAATCAAGCTTACTCACTTAATTAAGTTTCAAGCCGAGCGACAATTGAGCGCCAACGGAATGCAGACCAAGCATTTAGTGGAGCAACAGCTCGATACGATGGCGTACTGAAAGGTAGGACGATGTCAAACCCCCTTCGCAGAGCCTTGCTCTTACTATATAGCGAACATCGTGCACTGCAAACTGGGACGAGGGAAGTGGTCCGAACCAGTGCAGGTATCAGGTTTTACGGCCCAAGTTATCAGCCGCTCAAGGCTACGCCCAAATCTCGGTGTCTGCTATTGGGCTCAATTCTTGTTGGACACAAATGCTGCTCCGGCTTTTTAGGGGGTTGAATGCCTAACGCAAAGTCCCACATAGCTAGCTTCAGCTGAAGCTAGGTGTCCTGGATGGACTTACGGTGGAATGATAGCGCCTCGAGTAGCAACAGTAACGAACGCGTGTGCAATGTATCGTCCTGGATTTTTTTATCGCTCTACAGTTCATCTATATGCAGGCTACACTACATACCCCAATGGCATTTCACTTGCTACAGAAGTCTGTGCAAGAATTGCACTTGTTGTTGTCACAACCGAGTGCATCGTGCTGGGAGGTGGTTACATCTAACGCTTGCAGGCCAATTGTGAAACATTGGCAGCAAAGCTTTCGGTGGTGGTAAAAATCTGTGCGGTCGTAAACGACCTGTCGTTCGTTGGCAACATTCAAGCGCAGCTCTGCTCGACAAAATTGTAATCAGGTCAGTTGCCACTACCGTCGTCGACAATCTTGCTACACTGAAAAGCGTGTTGCAATCCAGCAATTGAATTTAAGGTCAGTGAAAACATGTAGTGTGCAGCATCCGAGTACGTGTAATACGTCAGCCTTTCGCGGTGTCAATAGTGTGCAACGACCTTGCCCTCCTTAGCTTTTGCTGGAAACAGTCAGAGTAGAGATATGAATGTCTGTGACTGCTGACCATTTTGTGCACGTAGGCTTTCACCAATATATGTAGATTGCAAATGTCCAAACCACCCGATCAATGTGATGCTGTGATTCTCCAATGCACGAAGCATTGTAACGTGCGCAGTATTAATATTGACGTTACTAAACATGTAAAAACATATAACGCAGACTATCCGTCTTCTGCTTACCGTCGTGGGCTATGCGCTTGAACCAAAAGATGATAAACCGATGGATTTGTCGTAGGCTAAGCCTGTCCGAGACCTGCAATCTCAAAACTCGTCGATGGTTTACACAAGCTAATTTATGCAGTAAGAACAGCGCTCAATGGTCTTGGTAAAAGCTGTCAGACCTATGCGGGTTGACGTATGACACAGTTTGCAACACAAATGACAATTTCGCGGCAGCCTACTGTTTGGTAGTCGCTCAGTCTCGTAGTACCATCCAATCATACCAGCAGTTTGAAGGTAACATAGCGTTCTATTGCATGGTTGCGAAAACAGCGCAGTGTCAACATGTACCTTGTCAAAACGTGATGTTCTGTATTAAAAAAAATGTAGTTTCTGACACATTGGGACGATAAATCACCACGCAGATGTAGCAACAGCAGCTAGGAAGAAGTCGTTTACGGTGATTATGACGATGAGAGAGAATCGTCGAGAAGGCAGGAGCATGGCCGCTTTTTGGCAAAACATGCGACTTTTTTAGAAGACTCGTAGACTGAGCTCGTCAGAGCGACACTACGACGCCATGATAACAAATGCGCGATGTGTTTGTTGGACGACTACAATCAGTGCGATGAGATATCTCAGACAATCGACTCATCGATACAATTGGTACGTTGCCTATCGATTGGACCTGCTTGTTACTGCTATTGAGAAGTGACGACTTATAATCTGGTTACAGACAAGATTATAAGTCTCAGTAATTAATGCTTTATCTTATCGTTAACACGAAAAGACATTGTTAATTATGATTTCATTATGAGACAAGTATGATGTAACAATGTTTGCGCACTTGCGAACAAAGTATAGTGTGTCCATGTATGATAATCAAAACAACTGTAAACTGTAAGGAATTTTGTATCTTGTCACACACTCAATTAACTAAGTATAGTGACTAGAGGATGAGATAATGGACGGCAGTCAATGTCTTCCGCTATGAACCGACAAGTCTCGTTGACTATAGTCAAAGTAAACTAGTACGTTTGTATCCTCTAGAACCTCATCCTGGATATCTTGCTGCGCTGCAATTGCTACAGAACAAGAAAGTAGTCATCGTGGGACTCCTCAGTACGAGTTTCTCATCTCCTTCACGTGCTTTCGCCTTTGCTAAGGACCTCATCGGTCGATGCGTCTTTCAAGATGATTCAATGCAAAGCACTACTATTGAAAAGGACGTCAGATTACCTGCTAGCGTCCATTTCTACTATGACGATATGGCAAGGTGTATATATCTACTAGGTGGTGGTTTGACCCGAGAGTTTTTGCTTCTGCTCACATATAACCAGTAAAGATACATCATTAAAGAGTACCAACAAAAATGTACTGCTGGATGAACGACAAATAATCAGTGACGAAAATACTGAAGAAGCAGAAGACAAAACGCTGAGTGAGACACAACGGATTCGCCATGAGGTTAATACTTTTCAGCACGAGAAGATCAAGATGCTAGTACTTTTGTACACCAGTTGTAACATACTGTTTGTACTAAAAGTAGACGCGAGGATGACCATTGAAGTATTAAAAGACATTCGCGCCTTGGCGGCGGAGAAGATGCAGCTGCTGAACCTCGCTCCAGCACCATCAAAGCATTCGAAGCGTGATAGTGGCCACTTGAAAAGCTCGTCGGCTTCGTCAAGTGGAAGAGGGAATGCATTTGCCCCTGGTCGTTGTGTACCGCTAGTGGTTTACGTTGTTCCAGCACCTGATGAAGTTTGCATGGCTTGACCAAGATACAAGGATCTGGACATTTGCGCTCAATGACGGTATCCTACTGCAAGGCATTAGAGACATGTTTATCAATTTGTTTCGGTCATGACGCAGTAGTACCGTCGGCTCATTGCGCATGCGTGACACAATGAGTGCCGCTAATTTGAGCAAAGAAAGACGACTATTTAACTTGGAGCCAGCCCATAGCGTTGTTGTCGTTTCGAGACGTACAGTTACAGCTGATGGCCGACCAGTGGCACAGCTCGAAAATCTTCTAGACGCAGTGGACTTGGCTATCGATGCTGACGATATTCTAGATGATTTGCTGCTACAATCATTGGCAAGGCGCACTGAGAAGCCTGATCCTTCGCAATGGGCTAAAGCTTTCGCGTGCTGGTCGGAGACTGCAGCCGCATGGACTCAAAGAGAAAACAACAAGTAACGACATTGGAAACTATTTAAAGTGCAGTGTGAGTGAATACGTTACGTCGGCATCGTTAGCTACGCATTAATTTGATCCGATGGAATTGACATATGAGATGGCTACATGTGTGACGTGGTATAAGAATTCATAAACATCAAATATGTCACATCAATGATACAAAAATTGGTAAACATGCTGTTCATAATGAATTGACGATAAAAAATTGATGTCAGTTCTCATTTGAGTTAAGAAAAGGGAAGAAAAGTCGAAAGAAGAACATTTGTTTGTTTTGCTTTCTTGAGATCAATCAGAGAGAGATTTGATCCTTTGCTGTATATTATGTTCTTTCGATCACTTTATGGCTCACGTATGCCCCAAACACTTTATGTAAGTAATTAATTAGTTGTTTGTTTCGTGCTCACGTTGTCTCTCTTTTCTTTTCATTTAGGTACTAAAATAATCTCACTTTTGTCTTGTTCTCAGCCTCGTATCGATCCACAAGCGTCTAGTTATTGGGAAGAAGACACTAGTAGTTCTTTGGAAATTGCACGTACAATAGAAGAAGCTGATGCATTATATACGGAGCCTGTGGAGCAAGATAAGAAGAAGAATACGATGCTAGCAGCAGCTGCTTTGATTGGAGACGAGTATGCCAATTGTCGTCATTCTGTCCCGATGTTATCGTCTCAATTGGCAGCTCTACTAGGACCTGACGGTCTAGCGTTGGAAAATGTAAAGAGTTTAAAGGTAGACGACATGGATGTGTCGCCAATTAATGCGCAGCTATCACCTACTGGACTCATTTCAATCGCTGCGGCTGACATTGACGAAGCGGCCACGAATAATTCACATCATATGCCGCCTGTTAATGGAGAACTGGACTTGGCATTTATTCACTCGCTACGTAGAGCATCTAATGTGTCCAAGACGGAAGGGAACGTTTGTAACCCGTCACAGTACGATGGACTGCTTTTATTGGATGTTTGTAGTGTTATTTGTCCATCGACTAATAATTGTATGGCTTTGTAGTGTGGTAAACGCAGCACTGACCCAATTGCTTGGGTCTGCACCTGCATCGAATGGGTCAATTTCTGATGATTCGATAACAGATGCTGAAAATGTGGAAAGTAGGAGCAAGTTTTTCTCACTCGTTCGTCGCCATTTACAAATGCTAAAATCGACTTCATCCTCGTTGGTTACACCAAAGATTGGCAATGCCGCAGATGAGGATCGAAGCAAGCTGCGCTTTTTATCGTTGCTTCGTCGCATCAACGAACTTCGCTCTCAGCAAGTCGATGTCAGTTCTACATCTTTTCCATTGTTGAGCATGTGCCGCTTCTTACAAAGTTTTTGTTTATGGTGAGTGATGCAGAATGGAAGCTGGGATGGTGTTCCGTACCCGCAGATTATTGCCCTTCCAACGTTCAACTACCAGATTCGTGATCAACTTGGTGCCGAAAAAAAATCAGAAAAAGATAGCGAGGTGTGCAACACGGTTTGTGCAGTATGCTGTGATGAGTTTGAATTGGGAGAAGAAGTGCGCGCTTTACCGTGTTTGCACTTTTATCACCGCGAATGCATTGACCAATGGCTCATGTGCCACCGCCAGTGCCCGATCTGCAAGCATGTCGTTGCCGTTTATTGAGCACTCGACCACAACACATCAAAGTCAGTCAATCAACACATTAAAGTTAGTCTTTTGGGAGCTTTTGCTCTACGTGTTTTGTCGTGAATTGCGAAACCTAACTATGCATATATGCACGTATATTTTGAAATCTCCATGGCTTCAATTGAATTAAGTAGCTTAGTCTAACTCGTTACTTTTAACTACCCTTAGTGATCCAAGATACGCAGGTTGCCCGTGACCACCTTGTTCTCTAACACAGTCCCGTCAGGCAGATCAATATGAGCTCCTTCATTGGCAACAAGAATTACCGTTCCCTGTTCACAATACAAGGCACAATGAGTCAAGACATGTTAAACAAAAATACAGCCAGCACTTTTTCCTTACCTTAAGTGTAATGTTAGAGCCGAATTTGACGTCGCCAGCGACCGTGAGGTGGTCTAGCTCCGTAATGTTGGGAATGCTGTTCTCAAAGCGTGCGAGATACTCCTTGGCGCTTTGGAACTCTAGTCCAAGTTTTACAATCGGAATTGTAGGCGTGGTTCGCGCCGGGTTTATAATCAAACTACCATGCTTAATTTGGTACAGATTTGACTGCACCAAAAAGAGATCCGACGAGGACTTCACAGGCAGAAAACGTGAACGTGGCACCTTCAGCCCAATGAAATTTTTGAACAAGTGAATCGCCTCACCAGCCGCGGTTTCTAACTGGACAACCTTGTGGTTCTTCACGTTACGGAAGGTAACAAGCGGCTCAATGTCGATAAGATCCTGTGCCACCAGCCTTTGGATTGCGCGCAAATTTACCCAGAGATTGTTCGTGTTAAATGTCCCAAACTTGTTAATAGCACGGAAATCGTCCATGTGCTCTGGCGGCACCTGACTTGCTTCGAGAAGATGGGGTTTGTCCTTGTAACTCACAAGCGTGCCTCCCTGAACATCAGCGCGGGTTTTCTCGGTCACCTCCATGACAAACTCGGAGTCCTCGTTGATCATGTAATAAAGCATGTTTAAATCTACAGTCGCACCAAGGTTGTCTACGTTGGAAACAAAGATGTACTCTTTGCCTTGGTTGATCAGATTTTCCAGCAGTCCGGACTCAAACAGAGCGTGGTAAACGTCCCCATGACCAGGTGGAAACCACTTGTCGCGCGTGGAGCGGTCATACTTCATATTAGGCAGCGGCAGCATCGTCTCTTTGACAATAAGCGGATAGCAGCTTTGATTGAACGTGTGAATGCTCAAATTATGCATACGGTATTTGCGGATGATACGCACAGTCTCCTCGTGCGTATTGAACGAATTCATAAGTACCAGCGGTACATCAACACCGTATACGCTGTTTAAATACTAATAAACGACTCAGCAAACATAGTAGACACCACAAGCACAGACTCTTGTTCCAACGTACGTACCTCCACTTGGCGCACAGTGAGATCGAGAAAAGATAGATCTTGACGTACTTCAATCGCACTCTTAGGTCCTTCACAACCCAATGTTGTTCCAAGACCACCATTTAGCTTTAAAATAACCTGTAACACAAGATACATATTCCACGTGACATAAGTATTGAAACCTCTTGCAAGATTCGCAACACATACTCATTACAACATAATCTTACTAGCTTATCTAGCAGTTCATGTCGTAGATTCATATCCTTTGGACAATTCTCGACTGATGTGTTACTAGTCAACATGTCACTTGTTGGTGGCTTTACCGAGTTCCTAGAGTCAAACGATAATGACAGTCAATTCGACCATTGTCTTTATATTATATAGATTATATATCATATCATACCAATCAATAGAAGTATGTTTAACCTTTGAATATTTACGAAATAGCTTGAGAAAGTTCTTTCTTTGACGAAGTCCCATAAGTTCCTGTGATGCCAATGCCTATAATAATAAGAACAAGATGTATATATTATTATAGCAATTATTAATTAGATCAAATATCTATTCATTATATTCATATACCTCGGCCATTTGGTCATCGACAGAAAATCGTGCTGGCATATGTGTCTTGTAATGCATTATTAGATAAATGGCTAAAGTCTCGTCACGTGATAGGAAGAAAATCCACGTGAGATTGGATACTTTTTGGATGTGATAAATTTTAGTCGAAAATAATGTTACCACACCAAATAACAGAAACACCTTCAAAAGATCGGAGCTAAATCTCGTTGAATCTCGGTGCTACTTCAAAAGACCTTGTCTCGTCAATTTCTATTATCCTTGGCACCGCCGGTGCTTTCACTAATTAAGGATTGCTAAAGATGGTGACAAGCGAACGACTTGATCCTTCTTGGTCGAATGAGACTCGTTCAAACTCGGAAATACGACCACTTCTTGCGCGCTCCGTCGGCTCGTCTGTCAGTTCAACATCGAGCTCTAGACGTGTGCACGTGAAGCGGTGGCACAGTCTCAATATCCCACAATATCCTGAAACTATCTACAATACTTGTGCGTTTGTTTTATCTTGCTATCTATTGACGTACTTATGTGACTCATCAATACGTACGTATTCTATCTTGCTCTTGTCTTAGTGATAAACTATGCACCAGTTAGTGTTGTGCTCTTTGGTGGATTGACGCTACTTATTGGCGTGTTTGTACTGATTCACACACAACATCTTGTGGCTACGGCTGACCTCCCACACAGCTCATTAGCTACAATGAGTCCTATTGTCCAGCCTGAGATACCTCGGATTCAAGCTGACACGAGCAACTGCTCAGAGCTATGGATTGAACAGCACATTGATCATTTTTCGTGGCTTCCAGCAGAAGCAGTGGAAATTTCTGATATAAACACTACACCAAGTGGCTTACCTGCAACTTACCAGCAAAGATACTTGCTGAACACTCAGTTCTGGGATCCTAGCGACAAGAAAGCACCTGTTTTCTTCTACACAGGCAATGAAGGGGACGTGACATTATACGCTAACCATACAGGACTAATATGGGAAAATGCCCAGGCGTTTAAGGCGCTTATTGTGTTTGCTGAGCACCGATACTACGGCAAGAGCTTACCGTTTGGTGACAAATACATTGATAACTTGGCCTATCTCTCACACGATCAAGCACTTGCCGACTATATAGAACTAATCTATCATTTGCAGAAGAAGTACGATGCGTTTAACCACCCTGTTATTGCATTTGGAGGTAGCTATGGAGGGATGTTATCGGCGTGGTTCCGAATGAAGTATCCAGCCATTATTGCGGGTGCTATAGCGGCATCTGCTCCTATTTACGGCTTCAGTGGCTTCCCAGATTTTGACGGTCAAAAGTATTGGCAAGTGGTGACTCGCGATGCATCTCCTGATGCAGGGTCCGCGAAAAACTGCGTGGCCAACGCACGCAAGTCATGGCCACAACTGTTTGAGCTAGCTAAGACAGAAAATGGGCGCACTACACTTACTTCATTGTTTAGGCTATGCCAGCCGCTATCACGCACGGAAGAGGGCAATGATTTGGCAATGTCAGTGTTGTTTGCTTTCGATGTCCTGGCCATGGGGAATTATCCGTATCCATCCAGCTACCTCACTGAAGGAGCAGTGAATCTTCCGGCATGGCCGGTTCGCGAAGCGTGCTCACATTTAGCCGGAGACTTCCCCGCGCCATCGTTCAGTCAGGAAAATGTGGATACGACGTTGTTGGAGGCGCTACGCGATGCCGCCAATGTGTACTACAATGCGACCAAAGACCTGAAATGCTATAAGATCCCAACTTTGTGGGACTACGATGGCATCTGGGACTACCAATACTGTACGGAGATGCTGCCGCAGGAGACATATTTTAGCACAAATGGTGAAACGGACATGTTTTGGCTGCGAGACACTACGTTCGAGGAAATTCGTAAGCACTGTCAGCGTGACTGGCATACATCGCCCAATCTGGATGGCATCCGCGTGAGTTACGGCGATGAGATGTTACGCTCCGTTTCCAACATCGTATTTAGCAACGGCCTATTGGATCCTTGGAGAAGTGCTGGCGTGCTGCATACCCCCCAAGGACGCAAAGGTGACAATCGTAGACATTGCTGAGGGCGCCCATCACCTGGATCTTTTTTTCAGTCATCCGAAGGACCCTCCTTCTGTTATTGTGGCACGTGAGACTGAGGTCAAGATGATTCGCGCGTGGATCGACGAATTCGTTGCGTATAAGTAGGAACTGAGACGGGAAGTAAGTGTAGTCATTTCTTGCACTCTCGTAAAATAAGTACGATTCGGATTGAAAAACCTAAATGAGGTGTTTTGCTGTGAACATTGTTAGCATAAATGATAGCAGCTCTTCAATGTAAATATACTCTATCATTATCAGCAATCATTACAATACACAGCGACATATCTTGACGTACAAAGTGCCACGCGGTTCAGTTTGAAAGACACTACCAATGACGTTCTTGATCCGGTTTATGGCTTTATGTAGCGCCTCATTGGTGCTGCTGTCGTCATGTGTGGATGCTGCACTTGATATAGAGATGAAGCTTGTATCGAAGCACTTAGCTCTGGCGACTGGTCCGTTGGAATTGGCTGTTGTCGTAACGCCAAAGCAACCTAAGCTTAAGCAACTGTCACTTAAGACGGTCATCGATACTTTCGGTGCTGCTGTTCTCTCTGGACTGGTAGGATTCATTCTTATGGAAAAAAGGTTAAATTATTATACATGGAGTATTCATTATAAGGTCTTCATTTGTGTACGCTACAGACGCTTAGAGGAGACGGAAGCAAGTTTGTAACACAGTTAACAGATGACACAAAGCTTAAAGCGGGCATGTACAAGCTTAAGGTATTGGCAGTGGATGAGGAGACAAATGAAGAAGCTATGAGGACGCTGCATCTTAAAGTGACGACGTCTGTGGAAGTGGTAGATGCAAATGTGAATGGAAAGAAGCTGCAGCTAGGAGATAAGTTGACAGGCCTGAGCTTTAATGCTGCAACGGATGACACACTTAAGATGGAAGTGACATTGCAGCAAACCCACGATAAATCACCTGTAAAAGCGCACCTGGCGTTCCTTCGCTTCACGCATGCCACGGAGAAGACAGACACGTACTTTGTGCTGACGGCTGAAGAAGCCCAGATACACAGCACGACTTTGCACTTTGGGGCGCTTAGCAAGAAGTTTAGATACAACTCGGGTGATTATCATGCTGAGCTCGTTCTGGGTGCGTCTACTTTTGAAAAGGCTATTGTGTGGGACATGGGCATCGTGGAGTTGCAGCTCGGTGCAGCCCTACCTGAGACACCATCGCCACTCTACAAGAAGCCACTGTTGCATGAAAGCGACACGACACTAACGACGCTGCCTGAGATTTCGCACGTCATGCGCAAACAGGATTCTCGACCGCCTGTAACTGTGTCGTTTGCCTTCGCGTGTGCAGTGGTGGCCCCGTTGGTCTTCTTCTTGCTGTTTGTGATGCGTCTTGGAATGAACACGAAGCGCTTATTTGAAGGCCCTGTGTTCATTTTTGGCTGCGTGTTCCTCGCGTCATTGGGTGGTATCTTTGGTCTTTTCGGTTTGTACTGGGTTCATCTGACTATGTTCCGTACCTTGGGCTACCTGAGTGTGCTGGGCTCTGTGACCTTGTGGTCTGGTCATTTGACTCTCAAGCGCCTTGCTGAGACTCGTGTCAAGAAGACTAGTAAGGTCGAATAGAGGAGGTGTGACGAGGTGTGAAGAAAGGTGTTGGCTGGTAGATTGCTGCCTATTGGTGATGACATTGAATGCAATGGATCAAGAGGATACGAAGCGTAGTGGCGGTTGCGATGAATGAAATGAATTTCTTGATGTGTTTTCTACTTTTTACTTGGTCAATGGTTTTCAGCCTTGATGTTAATCTCAAATGTGTAGGAAATAATTCCGGACAGACTGGACCATACAAGTGGCCATATTAATTTTAGTGTGATTTAGGCAGTCGACTAAACACATTTATAGTGTTTAACTCACACTAAAACTCGTTCAATGGCGGGTCGGCTTATGGCGTTCAATGACTGACCAAAAAAAAGCGTCCTTTCCAGTTAAGTTTCGGCTTCAAAGTCAGATGTCGTCTACTTGCTGACTTCAACGTTAGTATTTGAATTTGAATAACCTGTCCTAACCAATTAGATTGGTTTGATCTTATCTTGTAAACTTATAGTATATAGTATTTGTATCAATATATATCCTGTTAATTCTACTAACCACTGCAGGGCCTTTTGCTCCCGCTCTGACCATTTTTCTACAGAATCTTGGAAAATAACCGCTTCAGGGCTCTACTGAATCGCAGTGGGTGCGTGGGGAAGGGGCTCTTACGGTATTTGGTGAACAAATTATAGCAGTAGTGGGAAAGGCGCTTGTATGTGTTCATTCTTTCAAGTTATACGTTCATGAGCAGCCATTTGCAGCAACAAGTAGCGGTTTTCCAATCTCCTCCTATGACAGTGCAACGACAACGTCGACGTCGTGTAAATGTGCAGCCTTTATCCCATAAGAACGTGATTTTGAGTCGAGGAATTGTATTATTTGATCCAATGAATGTTACGTCAAGTATGGGGTCCAAGTCACCATTGATCGTAGTTGAACAAGCGGTAGATAATCAGAATAATGACAAGGATGATACAAGTGACGCAAAAGCAGAAGAAGAAGAAGAAGAAGAAGAAGAAGGAGTGAAGGAAGAAAAGGAAGAGGAGGAAGAACAGGAAGCGGAGAATCAAGAAGAGGATGTCGTTGTAGACTTCGAGTCTTTAGCTACAAAGCAAGCTAGAGTACGAGCTCATGTGATTGAAGAGATTTGTGAGACAGAAAAGAGTTACGTGAGTGATATTCGTGCACTGAATGACCATTACATTGTAGCGTTGGAAGAGAAAGCACATCCAATTATGGAAGATGCACAGATTGCTGTTTTCTTTAACAACTTGAGACATCTTGTTATGCTGAATTCCAAGCTACTTACCGACCTCCAGGCAATTGGGAATCGTCCACCTGTATCTTTGCCGTTGAAAAAATACATTGAAAGATCAGCTACGAGTGGAAAACGTAAGAAAAGCAGTGCCAGTCCACTTGCAACGCAATGTGAAGATGAAGGGGTTGGCGCTGTGTTTTGTCGATATGCGCCGCTCTTTAAGCTTTACAAAGGATACGTCAAAGATTACGAAGAGGTGGCAGCTCTACTGCAGAATTTTGGACGCGACGCTCGTTTAGGTTTTTCAAGCTTTCTAGAAACCTGTCGAGCAAAAAGCGGTTCATTGAAGCCGTTTGAGAGCCTACTGATTATGCCGATCCAGCGCATCCCTCGTTACAAGCTACTGCTAGAGCGCCTGTGCGAGCTTACGCCATTTGAACACCCCGATGCAGCTTTTCTTACAGAGGCAGTAAATCGGATACGCAGTGCAGCATCACTGCTCAACGAGACTGTACGTCACCAAGAAAATCTAGAAATTGTGCTACAGGCTCAGCAAAAATTTGCGGGCCAGCTTTCGCTATTTACGGCGGACAGACGATTACTGAAATCAGGCAAATTAACCAAAATGTCCACGAAACGACAGGAAGATGTCATGATTCATCTGTTTAACGATATTCTGCTATATAGTGGTGTGCTGATTACTGGTGGCTATCGCGTGCGACGAATTGTTCACTTATGCTCTAAGGCTGTCGGCGTCAAAACGGAACTACCCGCATCGGTCCAAGCACTTTTTGACCAGCAATCAAAACGCCGCGCGGGCAAGGACTGCGGCTTTGTCGTTACTAGTCGAGAAAAGACCTTTATTTTGTTTGCAGAGACCCAAGAGATACAGCGTGAGTGGGTCGAAGCCATTTCGAGTGCTGTAACGGACGCACAAAAGCAGAAGCATAGTAGAGATGGTGAAGCTGGTGACGGCGATGGGAATCATCTTGGAGCGTGTGAGGGACCCGCCGACGCAGCCGCTTTATGGGTTCCTGATGATGTTGCTGGTTCGTGCAATATTTGCAATGCTTCTTTCCGTGCGTACTATCGAAGAAGACATCATTGTCGTCGATGTGGAACGGTGGTATGCGATACTTGCTCTTTAGGACGTGCCCCGTTATTTGTTGGTGAGTCATCACGAGCTGAACGTGTCTGCAATCCTTGCTTCAAAGTCCTTGATTTAGTGCGTCAAACTGCACTGCATTGGCTATCACGGGTTGTGGAATTTCGTGGCGTACTGCGCCGTCGACGGTCTAAGAAGTGGACTGAGCATTATTACGAACTTCGGGCAGGTGTACTGAAACAGTTTTTGCTCGAAACAGTACCAGCAGGTGCGGCGCCAGGTGACCAGAACAGTACCGCTGCCGGGTTTAACAATTCTGGAAACGGAGAATTGGTGGTTGCTGGAGGCACAGCAAATAGTAACACTCTTCGGTGCTGCACCGACGAGCTGTCTCTTGCCGGTGCTATCGTAATCCACCGGTCCGACAGTCGGGCACACAAGAACCGATTTTGCTTTCAAATTTCAACTGCTGAGTATGATGAGTCGCAGTCGAATGTTAAAGTGGACGACAGTGAAAATGGTCAGCAGCGCAAAACAAGTCCAAAGCATCTAAACCAAGCTGCAGCTCGGACTAAAACCAAGGCTTCTCCGTTTAGACAAGCTGCCAATTGCTTTGGTCTTCGACGTGAGCCTGCAATTTCTCATGTAAGCTCCGGTTCCTCCGGTGAAAAGACTACCTCGATTGTTTCGCCCTTGCCGATTCACCTGGCACCATCTTCGTCACCAAACTCGTCGTCTTTGTCGAAGAATGCTGCATTACATGAGAATGAGTGGATCTTGTGTGCTACGACTATACAAGAAGAAGTGGCATGGCGTGTTGCAGTTCAGAGTTCTGCGGACAAGGCATTGCATCGCATGCGACGTTCTCGCGTCACCGACTTTTCAGGTTCACTTTTACAGAGCGGCATTCTAAGTTTGAGTATTAGTGTGCCACAAAACAGTATACGGGCCTCGATGTCGGCAATTTCTAACTCCAGTTTTATTGGTACGATTGGAAGGCGACGCATGTCTTCCCTTGATCGTAGCCCATCCACGGACGCCGAGCTGTCACTGGAGCTTGCCCATGCTGCAGGAGCGGATCGTGACGCATATTTGCTAGAGCACCGTCGCCGCCAAATTTTGAAGGAAATTATTCGCTCTGAGGAAAGCTATGTCGAATGCGTAGGTGAGTGTATTCGCTTGTTTGTTCAGCCTCTGCTACTACGGCAGCTTGAAGGCCGGAAAATGCATCGACGTCGCCAAAACAAGCGCAGGCGATCCCTCCACCCAGGGCTTGGAGTTTCTTTGACTACTTCTGCTCGAGTTAGCGGAGACTACCGTCGACCAGCAAGCAGCAGCTGTGTTGGAGCTAGTCTGACGCGACGTGGTGGTAGTAGCAACAGCTTACAAACAGTGCTGAATGCTTCCTACAGTGTAGCAGCAGCAGCGTCGTCGTCGTTATCGACAGCCTCTGCCCCAGCACCCAAGATACTGGTGATGGACGCTGATCTATCTATCTTTTTCAGCAGTGTAGATCAAATTTATACGCTCAATCAGCAACTTCTTGACCATTTATCGCGACACCTAGAAGAAACCAGCGCAGTATCAATGTTATCATCTTCAGTTGACAATGGCCAAGAGAAGCAGCGCGAAGCTGAACCGCCTGATTTTCTTGGAGTACGCGTGCATCGGGCCGGAGCCATCTTTCACGCCTATGCACCTTTAATGCAATTGTACACCTCGTATGCGAGCCGTCACAGCGCGGCATTAATTGCATTGGACTCGCCCCAATTTGCTGGATTTCTTCGTGAATTGCCTCCTGAGGCGGATGTAAACCGTTTAAGGCGCTACCTGAACATGCCCATGGAGCGGATTCCGCGTTACAAAATGCTTCTTCAAGAGCTATTAGGGTCTACTCCACCCGAGCATATAGATTTTGTACCGCTGCAATCAGCGATCAAAAGTGTGGACCGAGTGGCGAACAAGATTGAAGAGATTAACGAGATACGTGAGAATGCACGCACTCTTGCGACTGTGAGTGCAAAGGTAGGGATTGATCTCAACGGCCGACATTTTGTTCGAGACGGAATGCTGCGCAAAGTGTGTCGTAGCAAGGTACAGACATACTACTTTGTGCTGCTGGAGGACGGTAAGTAAGCTACAGTGATGTTGCCTTTTGGGATGCATACTTACTTGCTCACCGGATGGTTACTTGCATGTTTCTTAGCGATGGTATATGGGCGTCAAGGTGGTCTTCACAAGAAGAAGTTCCACTTGCTTGATCTTTGGGAGTGCAAGGTGGCGGATGATACGGAGAAAATGCCAGGTGCCATTACGACTGTCGTGAACTCAAACAAGTGAGTGTATCAATTAAGAATTGAGCAAAGCTGTTGACTAACGTGGTTTTGTTGAAATGACTCACTTGGTAAAATTTCTAGCGCCTTCTGCTTCTATTCGCCTCTGAAGTCTTTCATCTTGCTGGCAGAATCAGAGGAAGACAAAATTGAATGGACTACCGATATTCGCAAATGCATTGACCGAAATCTCAGTGGCAAGACTCATCCACGTCGCACGAGCCTTCGTTCGGAGCTACTAACGGACAACGACGACGATACTTCAAGTGGCTACGAGTTTGACGGAGGATTTGCGATCAAAAACGGTTGGTTGAACGTTTCTGGCGGTGCTGTGGTGAATGTTTCTGGTGAGAGCAGCACGACATCCAGTTTAACTACGAGCAGTAATGCTGGCAAAAAAACTCGAAGATTGTGGATCACACTGACATTGCAAACCATCTCATTGGGCTCCACGTTTAAAACCGCGCAGCCTGAGGAGATCATTCCCATCGAGTTGTGCGAGGTAGTTCCTCTCAAGAATGAAACGTGCTTTCGTCTGCAGTATCTGATCGACACGGTAAGTTGGCAAAACGTCACCATGTGATTACTTCAGCTTGTCGTCAGAATCATTTACTTACTCACACTGCACTGTCTGTTTGTTTTTCTATAGAAGACGCGCACGCAAACGACGTATGTGTTCGAGGCCCTGTCTCAGGCAGAGAAAGAGGAATGGGTCCGGGCGTTGACCCATTGCATCTCAGGGGGCGATGAGCTGGCTTTACGTCGTCGTAGCCTCAAGAGGGCGACGCTAGCTCCAATCTTTATGTTCGATAAGGTTTCAAATGTCTGTACCATCTGCACGCACACTTTTGCAGTATATCGACCACGTCACCACTGCAGGTATGAATTGCTGAAGTCTATAGACATTTGACACATGGGTTCGTCGCTTCGAAGTACCATCGCTAATCGTCCTCTGTTGTAATTCTGAACAGATTATGCGGGTCGCTTGTTTGCGGTAATTGTTCGAAACGACGGTGGACCCTGTCATACAGCATGAGTAAGAAGGCCTCGCGTGTTTGTGATAGCTGCGCTTTATCGGCCACGAGGACGTTTTCTGCCGAAGTATGAAGGCAACAAGTACCTTTGCAATATTATATATTGAATGGTGCAGCGTCAGTATTGGATTTTATCAATGCGTTTGTATTGAGTAAACCCTTACAATATAGTCAAAACCTGTACGATCTGATATCGAAAAGTCGCAGACTTTGTACATACGTTATCAGCGACCACATCAATTGATTTCTAGGTTGAGACGACAGTAAACTTATTTCTAATAGCTCTATTATGTCTACGCTCTACTGCTGTATTGAATCCTATTCGCAGTTTCAACTCACAGATTTTCAAACTTGTATAAGAAAGCCCACTACTCACCGTCTCATTTAAAATCTTGGACATTCCATATATTCGTGTAATGACATTGTTGTTCTTTGTTTTCATACAAACGGCTCTTCAGTGAATATCTATATTATTAACTTGCGTCAGGTTTTACTATTTTGATGACACCTCAGGTGTTAAGTATGTAAGTTATGGTTGCGCTACTTCACGGGAGACGTTCGTCGAGACGACTATTCCCATCGCCTGTCGCTGTATGTTGACATATTGTCTGTCATTCTAATCACTGATTGGTTACTTGATATTTGTGCATTTTTAATTGGTTAGAATCAACTTACCACACGGTATGAAAGAAGCCAGTGACTTTATGGCCTTTAGCATGTTCGCGTCAAGTCAAGTCATTCTCTATACTGCGGTCTTTATCTTGACTCTCTCTCTTCCTCTTCTTCCTCTCTCTCTTTCGCTAAAACTTGGAAAAGGAAGGAAGCTCGGTCCTTCCTTTCTCTCTAGTATTATTTTTTGTCAAACTTTGATCTTTCCACTCGTTTTGTGTCAATTATCACCAGTTTATTCTTCATCATTATCATCCAACCACTATTGTCATAATCGACACTAGAAACTCACCTTCTCTCTCGAGAGAGACGCTCTTTTGATCTATTCTACGATACTATACGCCAATCAATCATCGTATTTTACAAACGCGCATGCCGCTATTTTCCCGTTCCTCCGAAAGGATCACCAAGTCCAAGTTACACCCCTTCTCATTGCGTAAACATCGTCATCATTATTCAGACGCAGATATTAACACGACCTCCTCTATTACCAGTAGCACTAGTCATAATAGTCATCACTTGGACAGGAGACCACGACGACAGACACAACAAAGTCCAACATCTGACCAGACGATTGTTTCACCATCGGTTCCTCCAGAAATTGCAGTCATTGCTACGAAAAAAACACTCCAAGTGCCACCACCATCAAACTTGTCGTCATCTGTCTGTTCGTCAGCTTCGACGCTTCGTAGTACGAGTCCCAATATTCACGAGAACTTTTTTGGTGGAGAAAACGATACAGAGATTTTGGAGGAATCAGAGACGCGAGACTCTGTTGTCACGCCATCCCAGTGTCGTATACCTAGTATGCGTAACAGTCGACAAAGTGCTTCAACCGGAAAATTTTCATCGTGTAGCAGCCGCAACAGTTTGGCCGAGTACCGTCAACTTCAATGCTCAATGACATACAAGAACCGCGTCAATAGCGATAGTTTTCGAGCGACTAGCACCACTTCTAGCTCTAGCGAGTCCGGCATGAGTGACCGAATGAGTGACATACGGACATCATTATTAGATGGATTCCGTGTCACGAACGCATCGGTACGATCGTCTGAGACACATAGTTTGCTCAATGCAAGGATTTCCGAGTCGTCCAAGCCCATTTTGTCGGCAGTACTACCTTCCGTGCATGAATCTCCTTCAACTTCTTCTTCAGCTGCTCGATTTTCAGACATGTCGACTTTGTCGGATACTGCAAAATTGACAGAAGCCAGTGTTGCTGCTTTGCAAACGCGCCGCGCTTTCCAACAAATGGTCTTGGCGATGGAAGACGAGGATTCAGGTGATGAGTATGAGTCGGACGGTGATGCGTGGAGAAATAGCAACATCGAGAGCTCTCACGGTAGCTCTAATGTGGTGCGCCTTAGTGCAGATGATTACAGGAAATTCCAGTTCCGTCTTCGACAGCTTGAGGAGCTAGCAGCAGAGCAGTCTAGGAAACAGGCAGATATGGAGCAGACCATTGAACAGGAGGTACAAGCGCGGACCCAAAAGGTGATAGAGGCGATGGAGAAGCAGATTAGCATGTATAAACAGGCGAAGGAGCTTGAGTGCGAGCGGGAAGTCCAGCGAAGAGTTGTCGAGCACTTGGAAAAGCCGAGAGCTAGTGCCAACCAAGCTAGTATTCAGCGCAGATCATTGTCGACGAACGGATTGCATTCGAGCAATAGCGTTAGTAGCTTCCGTGAGAGCCATAATATTTCTGCCAGTATGAAGGAAGAGGGCAATTCACTGGAGAAGTTATTGCACCCGCGACGTTCCCGAAAGCGTTTGGAGCAGATGAAAAAGCGTGAGGAAGCTCAGAAACGTGAGATGGAGCAATTCCGGGAGTTTATCCGCACTACCGAGATGCGTATAACACAAGCTCAAGGTATGGACGGTGTCTTGTCAGGTGTACAGTTGGAGAGGGCCAGGAATAAACTGGACGAGCTAGCAGACCCATTGCTGCCGTTGTCACTGCTGCAGTCGTCACCACTGGAGCTTGTTGAGCTCGTGTGTGTCCTTTTCAAGAACGGACGTGAGCAGGAGAAACAAATAAAAGAGGCTAAGAAGCTCGTTACCGCTGCGATCGAAGCGCGAGAAGATGCCGAAACTACGGCACGTGAAGCCGTGGAGTGTACACTGATGCTAGATGCAAGGTTAGATCGTGCAATGCGTCATGAAAGGAAGCTAGTGTCACAAGCACGTAAGCTTTCAGCAGCCAGTGAGTTCCGACACACCCGTGAGTTTCGCTGTGATAGTGCAGCGTCTTTAGACTGGCCCCTTGGCACACCATCATCATCATCATCAATGCTTGAGTAAATGGACAAGTCAAGTTGATGTTCTTGTGCTGCACTTGTTGAAAGATTTGTCAGTGTATTAAATGAGAGTATTCATATTAGAAGAACGCATTAGACTGAGAACGGATGTCATTCCTTGTATCTGTCATGTTGCAATAGTTTAAACTTGAAGTGAAGACTGACTAGCTATAAAGTTGTGACTACCTATGACCCCTTCCGACTGACTAGCTATAAAGTTGTGACTACCTATAACCCCTTCCGACTGACTAGCTGTAAACTTGTGACTTGAATTTTGTCTCTTGATTGGTCAAGAAGAAAGTAAACAAGTTATTTTGGAACAAATGGTTGACACTTGACAATATATTGCAATAAATCAATAAACTTAATGAGTAGTATCTTAGTAGCAATCGCCCGTGAGCATTCGGAACAATATATTGCCGGTACAATCCAATCCCCATGGGATTATTTTGAATATAGTGTAAAGTTGGCATTAGCACGTTGGACAGCACTTCGTATGGCTATTGAAGGTGAATGGGGTGGTGGTGATACACGTCGTAAGTATGAAATTCTACTTGATGAGATTTTGACTGTATTTAAATACAATAAGGTCGTATATGCGGATGCAATGGCCGATAATATTGGAAATTACGTGGAAATGGAGTTTGGATTGATTTGTGAGGATGGTAGCGTTGAGGAGATTGCCCAATTACTAACAATATTAGCAGAAGAGTGCAAGAAGACGCACTATGATCGTATTAAAACCATGCATGAGCAAGTTCAGTCACTTTTTCCAATTGATTTGAAAGCTGTTAAGGTGAAAACGCTGGATGACGGTCTAGGATTGAATGAATCTACTGGGCAGAGTCTTGGGACAATCTCAGAGGAGACAAATGTGCCACGTGTTGATGCAGATGGCTTTATTGCAGTGCGTCGATCGAACAGACGAAAAGCGCCCACAAAATTCTACGATCCAGCAGCTGAGTTTCCAGGAGCGGCATAAGTTGGTTGAACAGCCGATGACTGCGTTATTGAACCAAGTTTTTGTGTTACAACACTTACACTGGACTGATTTCTTACTTACTAGTACGTACTCTTATCCTTCATTCTTGCCATTCTTGTTACTCAAAGTCAGCAAACATGTCATCTTCACCTTCCATCGCCTCAATCTGCGACGACAACGATGCTGCGGCCAGATTCACGTCAACTTCCTCTTCGCCGTGCAAGAAGGCACGAGCTTCGACAGGCGAGACGTCGACGCTAGGGTCTTCGGAAGAAGTCAGTATGCTGAGGCCAGCGTCCTTGACGGCCTTCCAAGCATCCGAGTCTTCCGACAAAACCGACTTTAGTTTGGTCAGGAACTCGTTGAACTGGGCAGAGTATTGAATCTCGGGACTGCGTCTACGAAAGTGAGATAGACACTGCAATGCTTTGGGGAAAAATTCCAACCTATTTTGGCTGAAGAACTTCTCAATACATGTTTCCATGCCAGTAACTGCCGTAGTGAGTCGTTGACGGCAACTTGCTTTCGTCTGGGAGGATTCAATCAATACCTCAAAATCGGCAATGGGGTTCATCGACCCGACAGTCGTTATATCTTCGCTATCCAATAGATCATCCAAGTCCAGCTCCAAGTCAGAGCCTGCATCTTCTCCACCTACCGCATCTTCGTTTTCTTCTTTCAGGTCCTCCTCTTTCACAGAAGCTGTTGGCACATCACTCCAAAATGACTGCTTCTTCCGGTCCTTTGCTTTCTTCACTGCTTCCTTCAGTTGGAAGGCATCGCCAAAGCTCTCGATGAGGGTCGATATTTTCTCTTGACGACCAGGATCCATCTTCAAGCTAGATTCCATGTATGCTGGCAGAGCAGGAATCCCGGCGGATTCGTCCAGTGCCCTCTTCGATACCGCGTGAAAAAAACGGCGGACCACTGGGTTGAAGCACACACCCACCTCATCGGCCTTGTCATCACGGATGCTCAAACTGTCCACAAGTTTATCAGCCAGCAATTGCTGTTCCTCCGACGGAGTATTCTTACGAGTTCTTAATGGAGCAAACTCGTAATTCCGTATGTCCTCCTCGTATGGCAATTGTTGGGACCACATTGCGTAGTAATCGTTTCCTTTGCTAGGAGATGGCGCGTGAGGAATCAGAGCTACAATTTTAGGGGCAGCATTTTTTCGCGGAACAAAACGAGCGATAATGACCTGGTCAAGTTCTACCATTGCACTAGTCAACGCGGCAAAACACGTCCCTGCATGCAGTTTTCCTGGTTCAGCAATAAAGATGTCGGTACCGGCAACAAACTTTGCATGACTGATCTGTGCACGGTCTAGAAAACCCAGTGCCTTCAGCGACTTTTCGGACTGAAATTTGAAAAACTCCATATCTGCCGATGCAAACGGAACCTTCTCTGCACCGTAACGGTAAGCTTTGACTTGCTCGTCTGGAGGAACTTCTTCATCAATATTCTGCGGAGATGTATAACGGCGGTCAAGTTTTACTTTTCCCCCCGTCTCCTTTTCGTAAGAGATCTGCGATTCCTTTGACAAAGTCGGTAGTGTTGCAACTTTAGTTTTCAAGTAGCAATACACCGGGATGCCAAATGTATCTCCAAACTCTAGTAAGCCACGAAACTTTGTCGTCAAGGCCACTGTTCTTTTCATACCCTGTGCAAGTAGTTGCATGCGCTTGGAAACGGAGCATACCTCACCTCCAACTTCATTTGCAATCGACACAAGCATTTTCTCGTTCTCAGCCTGTACATAATTCCAAGTAAATTGAGGTGAATTAATACGCCAATCACTACCAAAAACTCTTACTTTTATATGCTCAACGTCACTTTCAAGTGCAGTCATAGGTTCATCCTTTACAACAACTGCTACGGGCATCTTGTCATCACCTGTCGTTTCTACTGCTTCCGTCTTGATCGTCGTATGCTGAAAGTCCAGTCCACTACAAGAGCAAATCAATCCGTGTCAGTCACATCATTGCATGATACATGCTACATTTACTCTTCTACGTACATAACTTGGAGCTGTACTTCCATATTCTGAATCATCGTCACAACTGACTCCAAATCTCGTGCATCAGCAATCTTTGCACTTGCATCAGTAATAACCATCAGACGCTTGTCATATTTTTTTCCGTCTGTCCGTCGAAACATCAAGTCTAGTGCTACAATCAATCCATCCAGGATATCCACCTGTATCACAATATTAGAGCCATCTAGCACAAGAAAAACAAGTAGAGAAACAACCTCATTCATCTTATAAAAACAGCACGTGCCTTGGTCTCTTTCCTTTGCGATGGTATCAACTCTCTCACTCGTTTAATCATGTCTAGTGTTGGAAAATCAATGGAATTTACTACCTGCACATTCTCATACTGTCCCTCACCCTGCTCTTCGTTCAATTGATTGTCCGTGTCTAATACATATACACACACATATATATATAGTAACATGTCAGTAAATAGTACTACGAGATATTACTTGTCGTAGTAGTAGTAGTGTTATTAATTATCAACAGCTTTAGACCTTCTGAGCCATAGATAACAATACCCACTTCGTCCTTTGGCTTGAAAAAAAGCTGATTCATATTTATATCATAGTACAATTGATAGTAACACCCAGTCATACAATTCAAGTACTACTACTTTTTTTACTACAACTTATTATACCTTCTGCTGGACAACGTTCTCCACAGCGGCAATGGCTGCACCAAAGCGTGTGTGCTGAAGATCAAGATCGGATTGAATTTTATTGCTAATAGCCCCGCCCTCGCGCAGTGGTAGACGCATGGAGATGCCTACATCTAAAAGAATTACTACAGCTTCCTGGTAATATAAAACCAAAACAGATTAATATTTTTGTAGTGCCATTACTACTGACAAGTAAATTACAAACCTTTGTTCGTGACATGGCTACAGAATGTCAAAATGACGTAATGGTAGTACTATTTATTTTCTCCTTTGTCGGTATGATATTTGATAAATTTAGCAAATATTCTGTATGCAGAGTTATACGTGGTCCACACACATCTCCGCCATGGTGTTTTATTGCCGTTTTTTACTGTCCCACGTATACAAGAATATCCGGATAAATAGCAATAAGCTACATTAACCACTCTTCCTAACTATACATTGGTGAAACAGCTATGGAGGAATGGGCAGTACAGGCCGAGAGCTTTAAAGGTGACGGCAATGAGCTTCTAGCAGATAAAAAATACACTGAAGCAGTTGAAATGTATACACGTGCGATTGAATTAGATCCAGAGAATGCCGTCTATTACAGTAATCGTTCAGCTGCGTATTTGGCCATGGGAGATGCACGTGGTAAAGCATTAAAAGATGCTGAGCAATGTCTTAAGCTTCGGCCTGATTGGTGGAAAGGATATAGTCGAAAAGGAGCAGCTGAATATGCATTGCAACGATTTGATGCGGCTCGAAGAACGTATAATGAAGGACTGCGTTTGAATCCGGATAATTCATCCTTGCTACAGGCATTAGAGGAGGCATATGTGGCTGGTCAGGCGTATAGTAAGAGACTGGGAGAAGAAGAGCAATTGAGACAAGAAATTCAGCAGCAGCAGCAGCAATTGAGACGAGAAGAAGAAGATGAAAAGGAGAAAAAAACGCTGAAAACGATACAAGAGAAAGAGAGAAAAGAGGAGATGAAGAAACCACAAGTTGACGATACATTATTGGCAGAGTTTATGGCTCAAGTGCAGGAACTAGAGGAAAATACAAATTGTATCACGAAAGATGAAGAGACGAGCAGTCATCTGAAGAAAAAGAACAAGGTCGTGGATTTTGGCACGTCGGATGGACAGATTGAACGATTGCTGCAGCCACATTTTAATTGGATTAACTTGAACCCGTTTCGTGTACTTATGCTCGATGTGGACGCAACTGAAGAGGATATGAAGCAACATTATCGCAAGGTACAAAGCATGGCAAGCTAGTGCAGGGGTTGTATCTTAATGTAGTTTGTAGTCTCTGACTTTTAGTGCGCTGCGTAGATTTCGACGCTGGTGCATCCTGACAAGTCTCGCAACCCCAAAGCCCGCGAAGCGTTTGAAGGTGAGCAGTGATTTTTGAGAACAATGTTGCTGCTTAAGCATTTGAGTGAAACGTGGGTATTGGTTGATGTAGAGGTGAAGAAGGCGTACAACGTTATCACAGAAGAAGACCGGCGTAAGACGTGCATTCGCACGATCGAAAATGCAACGCAAGCGGTTGACAAGGAACGTCGTCAGAAGATCAAAAAGGGCGTGAAGGAAAGTGAACTTGATGATTACAACGATGCTGTGGAAAAGGCTGTACTACGCGCGTTTGCAGAAATTGAAAACCGTCGCTTGAATATTGAGAAGCGCGATGCTTTGCAACGGCGGCGCGAGGCCGAGAAGGAGGAAAAGGATCATGTAAAAGCTGTAAACATGTTCAAGAGAGAGCGCTCATGGGCAGAAACGGACCGCCGAGAGCAACGCGTTGGCAACTGGCGGTCATTCCAGAAGGGAGGAAAGCGGAGGAAGGAGATAGATGCTCAAGGATGGAAAGAAGAATCGCGGGTGCATGTCAATGTGTTGTGCTTATAGTTACTTTGTTAGCTTTGGCTTCTAACAAATCGTTGATGATGCAACAGGACGAAAAGAAATTTGGCGAGGCAGACAATGAGGCTTACAAGCGAGGATGGAAATAATTTAGACAGTATTACAGCATTGTCTTGTACACTTCATGCTGAATTCTAGGAATCAATCTCCATCATTTGGTCGTCTTGTGGCGGCATGTTTTCTTCGGCTGCAACATACTGCCGTTGATGCTGGGAAGCAATCACTGTGTGATAGGCTTGTGATGACATACGTCGCGGGTCCTGCTTTTCTTGCATTTCGAGCAGGAACGCATCCAAGTGACCTACGGCTTGCTGCCGACTTGCTTCCGGTCTTGGCAGAATTAATCCATACCAAAAAGATTAGAGACAATCGTTATCGTTTGCCTTTCTTCTGATCGACTTACCCATAGATTGACAATGTCAGCATGTTTGACGTCAACCTTACTGAAGGGGATTCTAGTACTGCGTGCGATGGCAAAACGATGTAAGTCCCCGTGTACTCCTGAAACTTCTCCATTGTTTCTCCATCTTGACCGTGTAGCAATGGCAGTAGCTGGCGCGGCACCTTGTAGTAAGTTACCTCCGAGAGATCAATGGTCTTATTCCGTTTGATGCCTGGGTGATCTACAACCATTCCATCCTCATCAACGTCATCATGAGTGCCCTCTTGATCATTCTCATCCTTTGAAAATGTCACCTGTAAACTTGTATGCGGTAAAATTGCCGGGTTGCTGGTTGATACACTCACACAGGAAGAAGCAAAAGACAGATTTGAATCGATTGTCAATGGCTGAAAATTGAAAATACGCTCCATTGCACGTGGATTTGGCAGGAACTCCTTTCCAACGAACGTAAAGTCGATGCAGTGCGAGCGTACCCAACTGCTCGTCAGCTTTCTGCCATGAAATGATCGCTTGGACACAATCAACGAAAAGAACCATCAGTCCAACGTCAGCAACAAGTCCAGTCATTGATCCATCCTTTTCATCATCTGGGAACTCACCTTGTTTGATACATGGTCACGAAACATGTCGTTGGTTACGATGAACCCATCGTGTTTGACAGCATAGTCAATAACGTAAAAATCGTCGTGGGCCTGCGACGGTGTAAGGACTACGTAATTCTTCTCCACTAAATTGTTGAGCAGTAGCCATTCATCTGTTTCCATGATTCCATTCTCTCTAGACTTGACACTGTCGGAGACGGGCTTCACATTAAGCCAAAAATTGGGTATGAACGCGACGCACTTGATGGGAAAACGTCCCACCGCAGGTTTCAGTGACTGAAAGAATTGAATTGCAGCCACGAGATTTGGAATATGAGCTTTGCCACCTTTTTGACAAGCAACGTTGGCGCCATCAATGACAATGACGCATTCTCTATAGAAGAAATAGAAACAACAAGAGATCGATGAGCGTTGGGTTTGTATCGTTATTACGACGTTAATTATGGACAGATATGAGTATACAATACTGATTTAGCATCGTAAGATTCATTCCTAGCTATTGGCAGCAATGAGAGATACTATCTATTCCACTTCAGGTTACAATAGACATATATACAAAGGTGTTAATTGATCACGTACTTGATCGACGTCATGTTTAGTAATTGTAATGACGATTTCTTGCTGAGATGGGATCGATGATTGGACTAAATGCACTATATAAATAGAAGTTATCATCCAATCAACTGACAGTGTAGCTATTCATGCAATAATGACAAGTACAAATGTCACTCCAGACATGCGCGTGGCTCACGTGAGCTTTATGCCTGGTGCATCACATCTAAAGCTTCAGTTATGTCTTCATGATGATCTCAAGACATTTCATCGCTCAATAAGCGAAAAATTAGACCGTATACGGTACCGTCTTCAGCTGCTGGCGTCCAATAGATCAATCGGAAAGAAGAAGCGCAAGAACAGAGTAAAGGACGGCGTAGCACCGACAGTTTCTGTCAAATTTTATGACGTTGAAGGACAAGAAATTAATGAAAATTCTTTGACAGTTGGTGACGCGTTAATGCGCACCAAGAACCTCAAGATTGGAGACGAGACTTTTGTGGTCCTGCACAACCAGCCACTCGTCACGGGTCTCAAGATACTGGACCCAGTGATGGCTGGAATTGCAGTGAATCCTTTGCCTGAGACAGAGTTTTGCAATGCCAATGAGTGCTCGTGGCAGTGGTTTCGTCTGGACAAAGACGAAATAAAAAATGAAGAGACGTTAAAGACGTTGGTGACAACTGAAAGGAGATACATACCGACGAATATTGACATTGGATGCAGATTCTATGTGAAGTGTCATGCGCCAATAATACAGTCGGAGTTTGCACATGATATTCATATTAAAGTGATGACGATGCCGGTGCAGCCTGGACCGAATCGAGATGTGTTTAAGGAACGAAAATGGAGGGGTGCAACTACTGCCGTTGAACAATATCCTGATGCAGTGGATACATTTCGAGTAATGAGCTACAATGTGTTGTACGATGGCTACGCAACTACGGAACATGCACAAAAATATCTGTTTCCGTATGTAGATGCTAGTGCTATGAAAGAAACGCGTCGGATTCAACTTATTCTTCAAGAGATCGAAGAAAACAATAGCGATATTGTCTGTTTACAGGAAATGGGAGAGCACGTGTATACAAAATATTTTGAGCCAGTGCTGACTTTAATCGGTTACCGCGGTTTTTATTCAGGCAAATCGGGCACAACAAACGAAGGCTGCGCAACGTTTGTTAGGTTGGACCGCTTCAACGTGACCAAAGAAGTGACTGTGAATCTTGGCACAGCAGTCAACAACTCGACGAATCCAGCCTCACAAAACCTTATGCATGCTTTTCCAGAAATTGCAAAGGGTATTAACCAAGCTCCGTCGATTGCTCAGATTTTTGTCTTGCGTTCTAAGATAGGCTTTGCACGGACTATCATTTTGTCAAATACGCATCTATTTTACCGAGGAGATGCGCACTTGATTCGATTGTTGCAAGGTGCTGCGGTTGTAGAGTGCATAAGCCAACAAAAAGCTGCATCTGGATTTGAAAATGCTGCTGTCGTCATGTGTGGAGACTGGAACGCGTGCCCTGAAGCAGCATTGACTTCGTTTCTCTTAGATGGTCATGTTGATTCGAGTCACAATCACTGGCAGCAAGCTCCGTCGTTTCATTGGAATGTGTCTCGGATCGACGAAAATAACGTGCGTCGGCGCATACAGAATTCTACTCCGATCCATTTGGATCGATTTGAGCACGATCTCCAGCTAGTAAGTGCATGTGGTATTCCAGCATTCACGAATTATGTGACGACATTTGTGGACACCCTGGATTATATTTTAGTTGGGTCAAAAGTGTTACAAGTTCGTGGCGTGTTTCCATTCTTTACCGAGGACGAAGTAACTCACGAGGTTGCGCTACCGTCGTCTACCTTTCCGTCGGACCATGTTTCTCTTGTTTGCGATTTGTCATGGTGACTTTTAGCATCACATGAACGGGTATTGGGCCTAATAGTTGATGGCAATTAAGGAAACGATATTCCAGGAAGCGAACTCTTCCATGAACGTGGTATCTGACGAAAGATGGTGAAAATTGCTGACAGTCATGACCATTCATTCAGCGTTCAGGTTAGTACGATCAACATTTTGCGTACTGTCGTGGGCATTGTGTAAATGTGACTACATTAATACAAATACGTGGTTTACAATCGTCAAGCCTGCGCTAAAACGCAAGACCGTAGATGCATTTCGGCGTTATGGGCGGCATTGGTGCTACCGGTCCTCATGACTACCACGTCGTGTCCATGGTCTTGGCGCAGCTTGTTTTTCGATTGTCAACCAAAAAGATGGCCAGATAATAAGACGCTGAAGATACACCGATGAGAAGTTTACAACGATAGAGAGGAGGCAAACCTCGGCAATAATCAACACATTGGCTTATTGAACGATTTCTTTTCATCTGCGAAAGTTTCGTGGGTCTGCCTTACAGGCTCACCTTGGACAATCCGGTCTTGCTTTTTTCTCTGTAGGTCCTTATCGGGTCGTCAATGTCTTAGTGTCAGTTGCATCTGCAGCGACAGGAAGACAAACAAGAAGACATCTTTGTAGGAACGAAGCGTGTAAAGCTCAAAGTAAACATGCTGAGTAAGGCTGAAAGCAAAAGATTAGTCGATGCAATTCTATACTTGAAAACATGTGTTCTCAAACATGAAGAAGCTATAGAGTATCAAGATCAATGTTAATCGTGTTTATTGGAGCTACAACCTATTGAACAAGGTCCTTTAATTTGAAATATGCTCTCTCCTTAAAAGAAAAGTGCAGCAGCCAGACCGACCACAACAGTCGTTGCCGTGAGCGTAACCGATTGAATGCTGATGGCTCCACTGGTACCGGACGTTGAATCGTCACCGACATTTGAATCGTCACCGGCCTTCATGATGTCATTTCCAGATCCGCTCTCAGAGCTGTCACTACCGACAATTAGTACTGTCTCGCCAGTTGTAGCGTTCGTGGCTGTCACACTAAGCATGTCGCCGCCTTCGCTGGTCATGCTGTCCATGACCAGGGCGGTGTTGTTGGGGTCCATCACCATTGAGTTATTCATCGTCGTTTCGGTCCCGGTAGAGGGTTCCATCGTCGCCTCGGTCGAATCCGCCGTAGTTGTCTGCCCAATGACGTAATTTGGAGTTGCAATGGCAGCAGTAATGAGGAGAGCGGTGAAGAATTTCATCTTAGAGTAATAGAGACTACTGAAACGGTTGTAGATGTGAATGCTTGAGTGGAAATGTTTGAATGAATAAGACTTGACACCAACAGGAAAAAAATTGTGCTAACTAGTGAAAAGCTGTAAAGCGGTAACGGACTGCAAGAATCTTTTACCGTTTTGTAACGAATTCTTGATTTAGAATTAGCTGAACAGCATGAAACGGAAAACATGATCAAGGGTCAGAATGGAAAAGGCGCTCAGGTACGAGCGTTTTATCACAAATAATATCATAAGCTACGCCAAGTAGACGCACGACACACGTTAGATACAATAAATTTGGGGAAGGGACGTATATAGCGCTATGTAGGATGTTTCATTTACACGGCCAAAAAAACGATTTCACGATTTCGTGAAAACAAACAAATAGCTAGCAAAATTCTAGAATAGAGTTGTAAGACAATAAGAAGCAATTAGTAGCGACAAGATGGTGTATATTTATTGACACACTAATGGATGTTGTGCTTTCATGAAAATGTGCATAAAGAATGTTTAGAGAAACAGAGTTCCAATGGTCATGACAACCGTTGCAATCGTGTAGAGTGGCATGAATTGGATACTGGTAGCTCCCGAGTTCGATCCTGAGTCCATTGACGCACTGGTAATACCATCGAAAGCAGCGCTGGCGGCAGCAGTAGCAGGTTCTTCAGGACTAGGCGTAGTGCTGCGAGAGTTGTCATCCGACGACACGATGACTTCAATGTCCAAGTCCATGTCCTCGGAACCACTTGAGCCGTCATTACTGAAAGAAGCACTCATTTTGCCCACAGTGATGCCATCAAAGCTACTCGAGCTACTGGACGAAGCTGAACCACCAAAGCTATCAGAAGGGCTTTCAATTAAAGACGACGTAATCTCATTAGCGTTTTCCAAGTCACCGGATCCTTCAGAAGAATTCATGAACGAGCTTGAGGACGAAGATTCCATAGAGAACGAGGCACTCATCGAGCCATCAGCTGCTGATGCGGTAGCGATCGAGATCGTCAGGACTAGTGGTGTCAGGAACTTCATCGGTTTGGAGCTGAGCAGTGGTCAGTTTGTGGTGAGATAAGAAATGATTGCGTAGGAAGCATACGCGTAGTGTTCACCGTGGTATGAACCCTTTAGTCTGTCGCTCTAGTCATAGAGCGTTTCCCACTTTTTACTAAACACCGTTTCAAATATAGCATTTTGTCGTTCGCTTCATCAGAAACCGTCGACAAACGGCAACATCCGTTCAGACTGAGATTTTTTGCTGATGCTCTATGAAACCTCTATGCTTGCCCATCTATCTATCTGCTTTGACAATAGAGCATTTTCCTGTTGTAGAAGCACAATTTTAGATAATGGTGTTACATATTTCTCTACGAGACGTTTAACATACTTAAGTGCAACAAGGCTTTCGTTTTCAGTGCAAAGATCGTGTGACGTACCCTTGCGTATGACATAATATTGTAGTAGTGTCCAGCTCACGACCTTTGCAAAGCAAAGAAAGTCGATGTAAAGCCCAGCCAGATAAGAAGTATTGCAAGAAGAAGTCCCATTCACGATGAAATCAATCATGGCCCCTGCTCTGAGAAAAAATATCTGGACCCTAGAATCTAAAGAGAACCTCATCGGAAGGGTATGATGACCGGGAGTACTGCTGCAAGATTGTAACAGTCGGCAAAAGTAAGAAAAGCTACCAAAGATACTGCTGTAACACTGACGTCGACTCACGTATGATTTTGCGATGCACTAATGTCACGGAGGCCGAGGGTTTCATGATTGCTTAATCTATTGAGGGCAGAAGTACACTAATTTCAAGTCGATTGTAACCAATTAAACAGTTCATCTGCAGATGTAAATACCAACGCGTGTGCGCTAAGAGTGGTCAAAGCTGCAAAGGCTTTATGTAAGATTACCACACATTGATATGATAGCAAATTGTAATTCGAAGCACTTTTCAAAATGTACCAAAGTCTAAGACAAAGATTGAGAGTGACAAATGCTCTAGTGGTTAACGCAGTCACTGCATCTGCTGAAGAATACCTTTAGCACCAGCAAATGTGCTAACCACTATCATTGTCATTTCCATTGATGCAAATGTTCGCAACCGCTGTGCTGTTTAAAGGGGCTTTAGTTACCTTGGACTTAGGTCCAGACTTGAATAAACCCGTGCTAGCAGCATGTTATAGTTGCACTGTAATTCGAGTTTGAAACATCGTGCCGGCGGTCTCGAATTACAGCGGAAAACTTCATTAGAATCAGATACAGTAGGTGGACTACCGCTCTGTGAGCAACACAGCCCGTGTTTTTGTCCAAAGTCGTACTCGTACTTGAGAGCTAGAAGTTACAGTACCAGAACGTTTTGACCCCCCCTGGCTTGATAGTGCTCGTGGTGAGAGCAGCAGTGACACTGTCTGACTTTGTAGCTGTTTCGTGACACTGATAAAGTTGCCAGCACTAACCACTAATGTTATAACTTAAGAACTTAATGACACTATCACGTTGCTTAGAGTCACTTGATTGGGTGTGACGAAGTACGGGCTGATGCAGCAGACCCCACACGACTGTGGTAATTGAATGCACGTCCGCCTGATTGAGAAGAAGACGCAGGACCTCGAAAACAGCTACTTGCATCTGCATGGTTGCAATCGTCAAGGACAACGGCCGCGTATTTCTGCGCGTCTTGCTCGATATGATGGAGCATTATTTATGTATGCGTAAAACACCCACGCAGGAAAAGCAGTTGACACCGTTTGACAATGGTGAAGAAAGTGTTGGATGCAGAGGACTGATCAAAGCAAATGCGACAAAGGTTAAACAGAATACGTTGCAATGGCATATGCTACACCGAGAAGTGGAGTGTAAAGCAGGTGATGGTTTCAAGATTTAGACCAACATTAGTTCAAACGCTGTAGGGCGTAGAGGTAATGGTTGGCTACGCTGCAATGGTGTACACGTCAGTGGCCAGGATAACGTCCCCATATATTACCTTGACCACCCAACTCAGTCATCTAAAATCCGAGCAAAAGCCTTGCACACGTTTTCGATTCAAATGAACCATACTTGGAATTAGTTGAAGCATCTAACTGACAGGCACGCGATATAGTGAGGGTAGCCTCTCAAACTTGCAGTCTACTTAAACGACGCAAGTATTATAGTTCCACTAGGATGCGAGCTTATACGATAATATACGCTCTCGTATTATATATGCTTTCGTGAGCGTGTGGCTCGAGAGCATCGACCGCAGACATGCCACAAAGGTATATGTTTACTTGCACGTCTGGCTGCTGCGTACAAGGCTGATCCCTGTTACGAACATACTGTTCGCTTTACAACTTCAAGGTATCTGTACGTCCAGTCAGTGCCTAAGATGACCGTGTCTTCGCCATTGGCAATGACAGCAAACTCTGCCTCCTTTGCTGCAAATCCTGGCATATTATAGCCTGTTCCAGGCCAGCACCAGACAGTGGTGGTTGAAGCTAACAAGCAGTTGATAATTCTGCTTTTAACTCCGTGTTTTACGTTGCGATTGCATGTGAATTCAAGTCGAGATATAATCCATGCAACAGCTTGATGGTTGAGGTTCGGGACGTTGATAGTTATTATGTTGCAACTAATCCTTGACTAAATCAAATCATCTGCATATCAATCAATCAAAACAGAAGCGTCACAGTTGTCCTTCTGCGCCATTCTCAACTCTAAAATTACTGGTCCTGTTTACGGCTGTCAGGTTAAGTTTCTGAGACTATTCTGAGAAGCCTGCAACCACGATCAGCTCCACCCAAACAAGCTTCAACCACCACCGGGTTCGATCATGACGATTTGTGGTTAAATCGCCCCGGATCTCGCAATGTTCAAAATCCTGCGTGTTTCTTAAAAAAAGACGCTTGGAAACGACCTTCAAACACCTCGAGTCTCTAGTGTTTTCTATATGATACAATAAGCACTAGCCTGTCTGATACGCAATTCTGAAGTAGCCATCACTGTATCTTTAGTGTTGAAACATCAGAAGTCTGACTGCCAACTTTCGGATGGTCCACGCCATGGTTGAAAGCGGTAAACAGACACGAGGGCAAGGATTTGTCACATCCAAAGAGGTTTATTCGAACAATGTTCAACTCTGCTGTTCGATGCATATGGTGATTAATCAAGAGCTGAAGTGAGATAGATAGTCTGCCCACGTAAAAGCATTCTTCAATTTGCATCCTGATACAAAGACCATTCGTTTCTACTTCTCCAAGTCACATTCGCCATGACAGCCCCCGTGATGATACCAACAAGTAATGACTCGGGCGACATTGAGCCTACCGGTGGCAGTCGGACATACGCCATCATCGTGTGTGCATTCGCGTCGCTTGGTGGCTTCTTCTTTGGCTATGACCAAGGTGTGACTTCGGGTGTGTTAATCATGGACTCGTTTCTTAATGACTACTGCGTCGGTTGGAACAACTTTACTTACGAAGAATGCACTCACTCCACCTCGGATCTTCCCGGTGAATGGACTACGTTCACCGTATGGTACAATATGGTCTACAACATCGGCTGTCTCATGGGTGCCCTGATCGGCGGCTACGTCGCTGACCGCTTTGGTCGTCGCGCTACAATTTTCAGCGCTGGCGTTCTATTCTGCATCGGCACATCGTGGCTATGCTTGAACCCCGCAAAGAACCATATGCTTACGTACGCCGCACGCGTCGTGCAGGGCCTTGGAGTCGGTAACTCGTCGTTCTCGCTGCCATTGTTTGGATCTGAGATGGCCCCGAAAGAGCTTCGTGCTCGCTTGTCGGGCTTGATGGTACTTCCTGTTACATTCGGTCAGTGGCTTGCAAACCTGGTCAACATCTTGGTGGAGAATAACATCCACGGCTGGCGTATCAGTAATGCAGTGGCGATGGCTGCTCCTATTATCGTCATGTGCGGTATCTTCTGCGTGCCCGAGAGCCCTCGATGGACCTATCAACACAAGGGCAAAGAAAAGGCTGAGAAGGTTCTCAAGCGTCTACGCCAAACGGAAAACGTGCAGCGTGAGTTAGCAGCTATCGGTGACCAGATAGCAAAAGAAAGCAATGAAGGTCCGGGACTACAGGAGCTCCTAGAGCCATCCATCCGCAAGCGCATCATTATCGCCATGGTATTCCAGCTTGGTCAGCAGGCAACCGGAATAAATCCTATCATGACATACGGCTCAATGATTTTCCAGGATATTACCGGCGCCGGTATCTACGCGTCATTACTGCTGAGTGGCGTTAATTGCTTAAGCACCATGCCAGGCCTGTTCATGCTAGACAAGTTTGGCCGCCGCCAAATGGCGCTTATCGGAGCTTGTGGTATGTGCATTGGTCACCTCTTCGCTGCCGTTTTGTTCACTATGATCTGCGAAGGTGACGTGAATGACGCTGGGTGTCCGCTACTTGGTGGTTGGTTCATCTGCATTGGAACGGCGTTCTTCGTCTGCAGCTATGCCGTGTCGTGGGGTGCAGTGCCTTGGATCTATTGCTCCGAGATCTTCCCCATGAACGTGCGCGCGACGGCTGTGTCCTTTTCAACGGCTGCCAACTGGATTGGCGGTGCACTCATGACGGAGGTCGTGAAGTTGTTCCCATACCTGAACATTAACGGCGTCTTCTTTATGTTTGCAGGACTCAGTATGTGCTGCGGTATCTTTGTGTACTACTTCTGCCCAGAGACCAAGGGCCTCTTGCTCGAGGACATCGAAAATTTGTTTAAGAAGCCGAGAGCTAATACCAAGTCACCTGCCTATGTCGACGCCAAGTCACCTGTGACTGCAGCGTAGAACACCAAGCCAATCAAGTCGTCGTGAGCTCTTTAACGAAGAGATTGTTGCATCTTTATCAGTCAAGGATACATATTAGTTTGATAGTGTCAGGAAACTAAAATAATTAAAGGGCATTCACCAGTGCATGAAAGAGTATCTTCGCAAGACGTGGACGCCCAAACTGTTTAAAGGGTGTCGCAAGCAAATGGAGGCAGTTTCGGACCATCACTGCATCGACTAAAATGTGTGAATGCGGTGACGTCCGGGAGCATCATCGTTCTGCTCAAGCGTAACACTTACCGAGAAAAGAACGTAAAGTTTCTACAGCATGTACATGCGCACGGTAAAATGTCTGACAGCGAAAAAGAATATAATCGATAAGTCAATGACCATCGGAAGGTGTGCGCGACCAATACGCTGCTAACATGCCTGTCAGTTAATGTCGGTAGACGACTGCTTGTTCACGTAGCGATTTGCAATAACGTGTGACGTCTTGGAAAAAGCGCGCTTTGATTTCTTGGCAGTAGTGATGTCTTTCTTGCATTTGTAGCCACATATGCCGAATCCCAAAATCAATTGTAAGAACCGGTCTTGACATTTGGCTTGCGTTGACGCTGCAACACGTACGCACGCACAATGCTGGGCGTATTGCGCCACATATTGGTGTTAGTATCGTTTAATTTGAGACAAACTAGGGCCTTTCGAGAAATCAGTACAGTGCATCTCACAATATCTCACCACGTGAGATTGGTCATCACGTCTTAAGCCGTCACCTTTCCGGTGGGTGGAAGAACTAGTGCCAAACTTTATGCAGAGCTTGTTGTACGTGATCGAAGAGTACAAGAAAATGGAGATCATGTATGTCGCTGTAGATGGTTGGTGTTTGCTCCGCCCTGCTCAATATTCTCGCACTGAATAAGAGCAAAAGAAGCAAAAGTTGATTGCAATTTCTCGATTCGGAGGCCTGTGCCGTACATGAGCGATAATGGCTCTGTTGATCGGTTTCTCACCCTGCTTCGATTAATTGCATCACCTGCAAAAACTCACTCATTTTTGTGCTTCGTCTTTAAATCTTCCAAAAACTTCTTCTTCGTATCATCTGCTGCCATACCACCACGACAGCTAGGAGAAGGCTGGATCATCGCATTGGCTTCCCACTGCTTTGGTGTTTTGCTGAGAATACTTAGCGCGTGCACATCCTTATCAAGCTCCTGCTGCAGCACGGCATTGACCATGCGATGACGCTGTATCAATGGCTTATGTTCAAATTGATCCGTTACCACTATCACCTTGAAGTGCGTCTCAGAGCCCTTGGGTACATTGTGCATATAACTCTCATTTACCACGTCCAAGTACTGCGGTGTAAAGGCGGCCTCTAGTTTTTCATAAATGCGACGTGCTACTGGACCTTTCGTATCACTCATCATATAGCGGTGGAACTAATTACATACAAAGCAATTGATTAGATACTTGTGCTTCTTACGTATATGAAGGCACTGAATGAGGTCACCTGAATTGGAGACAAGAAAAACAACCTTGAGATCATGACAGACAGACAAATCGAAGTCTCAATGGAGGGCGAGACAGGTGAAAATAGATTTTTACAGTCATCATGTGGTTGGTGTACATACAGCCTTACACTTTTCTGAGTATTTATTATGGAAGGACGTTTTCATCTGTAATATCACAAAGAAGATGAGCGCGAGATCAGATTGTCGATTTACTAGCAATGGCACTAATGTGCCTACGTATTGTAAGAGACTGATCCATTTAGCAATTCATTATCGTGATTTGTTAGCCGCTTGTATGGTTACCGTTATAAAACACAGAGTACAACCATGATCGGTACCAAGGAATACTGCGCTGCTTTGCTGCTTTTCGCGTTGGGCTTAGCTTTGTTTGGTGCTTATGTCATCGCTGTTAAACAAGACTTCATGTCGTAAAGGGTTTCAAACACAACCGGCGCCTCCGCCCTACCGGGTGAACATTCATCACAAAGGCCAAAGTGACAACGCACAATTGACGACGCTTTTAGTCAATCCCAGTGGGCCGGATGAACAGTCAAGTTTGGTTGCCTTTCTACTTTTAATACTCAATGGAAATTTGCCGGTTTTTTGGTGACATGCGCTGCAATAACGTTTAGATGTGCAGCAATTGCAGGTACGAGTTTGGCAACAGCAGTAACATCGGTGAGCGGCAGCTTTATGATGCGAGACTGACTGGCATGCACGCTAGAACGATGTAAAAGTGGTTGGTTGACCTGGTTCTATGTAGTATCCGATTACATAGTGAATACAGCCAAAGTTCTGCATCTAACATAATTATTTGTATCGTCCGTTTAAAAGCAATTACGGCTACGAGTTCAAAACTTTCAGTCGCACGACGGAAATTGTTCAGCTGCCAGCGCGTTTGCCGCGTACTAAGCAGCACACCAAATAAGAAGTACACGACTCGAATGATTGGTAACAGTATATGTGAGCGCAGAGTTTGTGTAGACAGCAAAGGCAAGCAAAAAAAAGTAACAACTATCAGTTTCTCTCCTAGACTCGTCAAGTCGATATGATCGTGAAGTACTAGGCTGTAGAAGCATTTTCTTTTGAATATAGACGTTTCCAGGACGAGGATTTCAAATTTTTCGGTCTGACCATATCCAAATTGACATCCTCCGGAATTAGTGTCACTTTTGTAACCTTCGCTCTTACAGTAAATGACAATTGTATCGATAACATCAGCGGTGTTGCTAGTGACAATCGGCTCAGCTGTGACATTGCTTACAAACCCACTGCTATCATCTCCTGTTCCTTTTGCAGACCAATTCCCGTTTCTGTCTGTTCATTTCACATTCATCATTGCAAGACGTTTACTTGGAAGTATACCTTGGACATAGACTGTCTCTTGCTCGAGCTTCTTCTTTATTAGCAGTTGCAATGTGATCCGCGGATGGGCAAGCAAATTGGTAGCCGAGCCCGATCTTTTGGTTTTCTGTCGTTCCCGTAGTACCTGTTTGGTGCCATAATACCATGGACGGGTCAGTCTTAACTTGCAAAGTCGCCGTTGGCATTTTTCGTAGCCACCATAAGTCATGCATATAGCTAGCTACCATGTAGCTCTCCCTACTATTGAATGGCTTCAAAGATGATTCTAATTGCGAGATATCAATAAGCAGCTGCTAGGAATCACCAACATGGTGGCATTGTATCTGAGACCTCGGTGAAGCTAACAACTTTGCACTTACCCGAAAAGATATTGGAATTGCTCCTTTTCAACAAACTAAAACAATTTAGAACGATCATCCTGCGCACAATTGAGACAATTGACCCACACCACCACTTCAATAACGTCGTTTAGTCACAGTTGTATCGTCAATTACGTTTGATGGGTAAAAGCCTGCGAGAACTTGAACAATTTTGAGGTTTTCATCCAACACAGCAGGATAAGTAGCTTCGGAAGAGACACATGTTGAGTCAGCAAAACATAGCCGCCCAAAACAGCACCGAACTTTGAGCAACGCTGAAGAGAAGAATGTCGATAAGGAACGACAGTTCCAAATACTACGTTGCGAACGGAAGCTGGTTTTCTTTACAACAATGTGTTCTTCAATTTGTTATCAAACCAGTCGTTCTGCTTCAAGTCTCTAGCGCAACTATTAAGCTGTTTGGAATTTCACTGAAAGATAATAAACAGGAAAAGCTTTGAAACGCCAGTATCGACGCAATCGCACGACCCGACCAACATGTGACTATCATCCTCTAGCCTGTATCATCGTTGCTCTTTTTTAGTACAAAAGGTGGTGACTATAATAACTTTTGCTTCTTCATACTTCATAGTTCATCGTTATTGTCAATAGCGTAATCCAATGCGATAAAATGTCACCAACGCTTGTATATATGCTAACGATGACTACCACAACGAAAGACACTCACTCGTTTTTTTCTGGATTTTCTTGTTTTTTCTCATAGTGTACCCACTTGAAGTTTCATTCGAAGAAATCGTTGTCCCGATACTTTATTTTTGAATTAGCAGCTATGTATTCACATCCACCTTACTATGACAGACAGCGTTCTCTCTCATCTCCTTCAGTGCCTCCTATCAGCTCGAACTATCGTGTAATGCCTCAAGCACCATCACCTAACCGTCGTGGATCAGTTCCAAACCAACAGAGTTTCGTCCGACCCTCACATATGCAGCAACAGCAGTATGGAAGTTCAAATCTTTATCCGGACATTGAACAATATGATTTAGCACCTACAGCCCCGTCCAGAGACAGTTTTATCCAACAAGAGCAAAGTCACACCCTACAGTATCAAAATTGTACCCCCACGCCTCACTTAAGTCAAAATGTTGCCTCAGTGCATCATTTGCCCGCCCCTTTTGTACGTGAACCATCACTGCATGGTGGCTATGGACCGGTACAACCAGGAAGATTCTCCTCTTCACTAAGTTCGACAAATTTGCTGCCAAACGGAATGAATCCTATTCCTTTGAGTGTCGTAGAGCTTCGATGTCGATGCAAGGGACTGAAAAAATCTGACTTTTTGAGTCAGTCGGATCCTTTTATTGTATTGTATATGCAAGAAGCTCTGAAAAAAGGCTGGCGGGAAGTTGGACGCACGGAAACAATCAACAACACATCGGAACCGACCTTTGCCAAATCTTTTCAAGTAGATTTCTTTTTTGAAGAAATTCAGAGGTTGCGAATTGAGGTCTATGACCGAGACAGTGCGTCTGAACGACTATCGGATCATGATTTTCTCGGATGCGTAGAAATTACAATGGGTCAATTAATGTCCTCGAAAGGCCAGTCTGTAGTTCTTAAGCTGTTGCAGAAATTTGAAGGACGAGAACGCGTGCACAATTTGTCTGGTCACGTTATAATTGACGCTGAAGAAGTCTCGGCATGTGCTGATATAGTCAATGTCAGGTTTGCTGCGACTAAACTAGACAACAAAGATGGATGGTTTGGCGCATCCGATCCGTTCCTAAATATATATCGGTTGCGTGATGAGAATGCCGATCCAGCAGCATTCACGTCGTGGGTTTTGGTATGGCGTAGCGAAGTCATCATGAACAATTGCAATCCGAAATGGCGTCTTGCGACTTTAAGCGTGCAGACCCTTTGCAATGGAAATATGTCACGCTTGTTAAAGCTCGAGTGTATGGACTGGGAGAAGAACGGAAAACATCAATTCATTGGTAGCTGTACAATAAAAGCTGCAGAATTTGTGACAGGAGAGGTTCGCAGTATCGAGCTTATAAACCGCGACAGGCAAGCAAGAAAAGGAAAAAGGTACAAAAATTCGGGTGTCTTGGTTCTTGAGAAGATCGAATGCTTCAAGCGGCACACGTTTGCGGAGTATCTGCGCGGTGGTTGCGAAGTCAGCTTGATCGTTGGCATCGACTACACAGCTTCGAATGGTAGCCATTTAGACCCCGCAAGTCTGCATTATACCGGGGCACGTTACCAAGGTCACATAAACGATTACGAGGCTGCAATATCGGCAACCGGGGCGATTTTGGAGCCTTACGACGCGGACAAGCGCTTTCCAGTATACGGCTTTGGTGGACTAGTTAATGGAGCTGTGGATCACTGCTTCCCATTGACATTCGATCCCTCACAGCCCGAAGTAGAGGGTGTTGAAGGAATTTTGAGTGCATACCTCAAGTCGTTCGACTTCGTCCAACTTCATGGCCCGACCATGTTCGCGCCACTAATACACCAAGCTGCAGCAATTGCAAGAACCTTTTCAGCGCCAGCAGAGCAAGGTGCTGGTGGTGATCTCAAGTACTTTGTGCTGCTTATTATCACAGATGGAGTCATCATGGACATGCAGCGGACAGTTGACGAGCTAGTGCAGGCTTCGGCTCTTCCATTGTCTATCGTGATTGTTGCAGTTGGCAACGCGGACTTTACCGCTATGAATGCTTTAGATGCTGATGACAAACTGTTGGTTGATTCCAGGAGGCAAAGGGCTGTTCGAGACATGTACGTTGATTATGCTGATTTCCACTTCTTTGATAGCCGAATCTAATTGCCAATGCTTTTTTTGTGTACAGTGTTCAATTCATTCCTTTCAATCAGTTTCGTCGTAACCCTGCACGACTTGCCACGGTACGACGTTATAAACGAATTGCGAGAAAAGTGTCTTGACTTATCTGACCCGTCATCATCTATCTTAGGAGACGTTGGCAGAGATTCCAAAACAATTATTGCAATACTATAATATGAAGGGCATTACGCCGCGGACGCCGCTGCAGCGCCAGGGAACCAGCTACATGGTGAGAAGCTCTATTAGCAGTGGAAATTTAAACGCGCTAAACGTAGAGGTGTAGAAGCTCTCGGGAGCATGCATTATGTCTCAAATGATTACTCGCTCATGACGCACCACAATACACGAGTTTATTACATTGCACGTTCGAGAAGTGCTGCAACCCCGGATTCTTATACCCGAAGCACTGTTATCTGCGTCACATATGTGCGCAGTAGTCAAGCTTACTAAGCTTCCTGGTAATCAAACAATCGTGGAATGTGCTGAAAATATCAGTGTGCTGCCTCAAGAACTCTACTTCTTCTTCTGCGCGTAAGGTTTCTTCTGCGCACAAACTCAAGTCGTCGTCTTTGCATCGCTCTCTTTGCTGTCGTCACGCTATCTTAGCCCTGAGCTCTTCAAATAAATGGAACTCTACGCTTAAATCTTGGTAGTCGTCTTTGCGTCATCTTTTAAGTGTCACTCACTATCAGCGTCACAGTCCCAGCGTAGAGAACTGTCACTTTTACAAGTAGTCAAGTATCTGTGCGAGTCTGTGGCGGGCATACGTTCAATTTAAAGCAAACTTGTGAACCGATCAAAACAAATTAGTCGATCGATGACTGCTCAATATTTCGAACTCGTAGCCACATACATCACTTTCTCCGAGCGTGTCGCATTGATGTTAATGACAACATACGCTATGCCTAGCCAAGAAGACACTAAAGAAGCAGTTTCCTGCCTGATCTGTGTCAGTGTCATTCGTTTGTGGTAGTGTTCCATGACTATTCCGTTGTGAAGAACCCGTAGTGTATTCGTGTCATCGTGGAGTAATGAAGTAAGAAGCTGCGGATCGACGGAAACGGTAGAGCAACCTCTGTTGATCACAACTACAAAACGTTTGCTGTCCCTGAACACGCCCGTGCGTTTCACTTGGCGCTGAGAGAAGCAACTTAGCCCGGTTGAGGAGTTCCATGTAGCTGGAGACGATATGGCAGCGTTGTTAAACAAGAGAGTATCTGTGAAACGTCTGCATTTGACGCTGTATGAGGATCGATCGCCATTAACATGAAATCACTGCCGCAGACATACGATCACTTTAGTCTGCAATTATACGGTATGTAAGTAAGTGCAAAGAAACGAGCTCCGTTGGTTGGAACAAAAATCGAGTCGTTGTGCACGCTCAGTTTGGTTTTTCTCGTACGCATAAGCGCTCGCAATGGAGCCAAAACGGCGCCTTATGTGTAATGATGCTTGGATCGCGAATACCATGACATGCGACTGAAGCTTCCCATGAAGGTGCACAGGCGAGCTTACCATGCTTCTAACTCTAAAACGTCCACGGTTTGCGTCAAGGGTGCGAGAGAATGAACAAGTCAAGTACATAAACGGCTAGCTAGCTAGCATGAAATGCTACAATGCCTACCGTGTCCGATCGCGACTACAGCACCTAGTCTGCCCCATCAAATTTTAACTCGGCGGACGCAATCGATTGTGTCAAACATCCGTTGTGAACAGCTTTTCGAGAACATCAAGTTAGATTGGATGGTAACATAACTCACAGCAACTCTAGCCTTTTGCTGATGAAATGACGATCGATTTCAGCAATCTCGGAACATGCTTTTGAGAATGTCGCAAACGGCATTCAAAAGTCGTTCCTACGAATTCCGAAGTAAACACCCCTATTCGAGAAAAATTGTATGGTCGACAGTTCCATGGTAATGATACGTTGGCATTAGACTCCCTGTTTCTGTGTGCTATACTAAGTCAAAGCTTGTCGACTTGTTCTAGTGTTTACCGGCTTGTTCCCAGACTCCAGCAATTTCTGTCTGTAGCACCATTTGAATGCTTCAAGCATCAATGTTAGCAAATAGATTCTATTGTTTTAGTAAGAGATTGCAGGACTAAAGGATTTACTGAGAGTATCTCATGCACAACTTCATTGAGCCACCAAGTGCTACAAGCTGCAGCTAAACCCATGACATATAGTAGCTACAAAATGTTACAAAAGAGGTGACAAGAAATGATGAAGGTAGGCAGTTTCTAATCACACAAATGTAACATAAGCATATCCTTGGTGACCAGGACTAATTATTCTTACTGGCGTTGTACTGTTTCAAATGAACGCCCAGTTGAATTTCAAACTGTTGTTTTGTTGTACACAATCCTCAAGGTGTGCCACAAAAACATGTGAGTCTTCACACACGTTATCGTGTACTGTTTGCTCGTCTGACGACGATTTATATTAACAAATGAAATTTTAGCTACTACGTTGCCTAAGCTCCTATTAGGTTGTAGCCGGAGCACTGAATACACGCGTAGAAACGTTATTCACTCACGTGGTCTCGGTCCAAATTGTTTGTCACGATTCTTGACAAAAGAAATAATAACCGAAGCTAACCGTCGAATTGCGAATACTCACGAGGCAACAAAACTTTGACCGACGACTGTCGCACAATTCGGTCAGTTGCAAAATTTCCAGAGATATGCACCCTTTCGATTCAATCGCCGAGACTTTCAGCGTCACTCCCGTGCGACCCCGACCCGTGCTCGCCCCTCGAGTGCCTGCTATCACGGCCCTTGCTACTGCAAGACGCTCGCGAAAGAACTGCAAAAAGCTCAAATGGCGGGCACGTGACGTCGAGGCTTCACAAGAGTATAACTTGCAGCTAGATGTGATAAATCTTCGCCAGGAAATTCAACGTTTGATAGAGTACCGGCAAATACTCCAAATGCGGACTTTTAATCGTCGTGATGATTTAGATGGCTACTACGTCAAGGCGATCATGGAGTACCACCGCGTGTTCGGAAGTGGGTACCAGCCGGGAGCTGCAATTGATGCAACCCAATTCATCTTTCAAGTCATGGACGAGAATGTTGTCATGGGTCGTTTTTCTGGACGTGAAGTACTATTACATCAATGGGAACGATACACCAAAGCACTTTCTGGACTGGAATTCCGCTATTTACACTCGCGGGTTGTGTCCGGGCAGGGGCGAACGATTGTGACTTCGTACTCCACCTATAAACATTTAGTCACCCAAGACACCCTGGACATAATGTTTCCTGATGCGATGCGTCAGCACCCGAGAATAGCGGCAAGAATGTTGGGGCGGGTTTTTCACGGGTTCAGCCAGATTACCTTCACGTTTGATACACAGACGCATTATATCATTTCATGCAGTTTTCAGCTTGATGTACTCGATGTGTTTGCAAACCTGCTTCGAGAACCGAAAGATCTATGTGCTATTTTCCAAGGCGCTAGAATCTCGGAGGAGTTTTTTATTGGAGACGTGACTTTCTACCCGGAACGGTCTCCTCAAATTGAGGAGAACGTTGGTCACTCGACAACAAAGCTCGAAGAAAAGGTGGAACCTAGATTTGACTTGGATTCAGAGAAAACGTGGCAACAAGAATGAAGAGCGACCAGTATTGTCGCCCCAGACTGACAGAGTAGAGTGTCCGTTCTCTCAAATAAGACTCGTGCAGAGAAGATCACAGAGACGTCATGTATGTAGTGCTGATACTCTTTCATTGTTGAAGTGAATCGGATGTGGAACAGGATCATTTTACGAAACAGTCGAAGAGGAGCAAGTTTGGGCTTTACAAAATTATCTAATCCCATCATTGTCTGGATTTCTCCATTACCAATCGCAGTCGTGTAAGAACCATCTATTTTAACAAAGAATTGATCGTCTATCTTCGAGCCTGATGTTGCTAAACGTTTTTTTTCAATTCGTCTGAGAATAAACGGCGTGCAACGTCGAAAAGATGCATGACGTTTGTTTTGAAGGAAAGATTCCAAGATAAAAACGGATCAAAACGGGCACCGAGCCGCATCACAAGTCTTGCCCGTTTTGCCTGTGAGAGCTCTATAGGCAGTGCTCCAAACACTAAGTTATGCTGGTTGCTGTATCTCGGTGGATCACGCCTTGCATCGCTAACCTTACATCACTAACGCGCTACTTTCATTGTGCCAGTGGGACATCGCGAGGTAATTGGCAACCCTGTTTGCAAAAGTGATGATAAGGTCTATGCCAACTACCCTGTCAAACCCATACTGCTTTTATTTACAAGGTCTGGGTTAATGATCACAAAACAAAGCGGTATGAAATGCAGGTCCTTTGTGTCTTTTTGCTTGAATCAAAACTGTCACGTCAATTTTTGATGGCAATGAGCCAGAAGATAAAGAGGGCACTTGATTGGAATTGGTGTCAAAGCTGCTCATGGGTTTGCAGGTAGTTCCGTCGCTGTAGCACAATGCACCATGAAACATAGCTAGACCAAATTAATAATAGGATTAAAAGGCGATGCACTGACACTCCCAGCGAGATCGACTATGCTCACTTATGCGTTGCTCTGCAATCTCAGAGAATGAGGTGCGCAGTGACACAATCTCAACAAACCGTCATGTCTGTCATGAGGGCAAATTCATTTCTCTTGGTGTGATGGCTTTGATCTAATGCTTAGTAAGCTGCAGCTTAAGCTGCAACACATAAGACCTCAACAATTCAAGTTCGATCAGAACCTCTGCCAGCACTCTCGTTGTGAGTGTCTGCATTTGAGCATTTGTCCAGTCGCCGGATTCATAACACCCGTTAGCACCTGGACAGTCGCCGACGTATTATTCAAAGCTCGAGTGGGCACTGTTTGCTTCCTTCTCAGTGTCAGTAGCTGCTCAATCCGTACTCGTCGTTTCACTTAATACACCATTAACGAAAGCTCACATGTCAAAGCCGGCACTATTTTTTTCGTCTTGCCCTTTTTAACCAAGTTTAACGCTTGTGAGCTGAATCATTGGGAGTCTTGGGAGTATCAACGACATCCAGTGTGATGTCACTGTAGCTACCGGAAGTCTTTCTTTGCAGTATATTATAAATGCGATGCTCTGGGTCGTTGACACCAATGCTCTCGTCCGACGTGACTCGGGTTAAAAGCCCTTTCACTTGCCGCAGGATTCGGCTTCCTGCTGCTTCCAGCTCGACATCTGAGTTGCTTCGTGTTTTCCGATTACGAAGTTGTAGTCCCTGAGGGGTCAAATAGATGTCGCCAAAGAGCACCCACTGCTCTACGATAGCATGGCTGGTAATCCATCCATCCGCTGTCCTTGTCAACGGTACAGGCACCGCACCGCCCTTCGAGACCATGAGCTCTTCCACGTGGTGACGACCCACTATATACATGGCCACACACGCACATACTAGTCCAAAAAACATCATTCCTGACGGGAAAGTGAAAGTTCCCCAATGGTAATTCACTTGCTCTAGCAGCATAAGCTCGCCACTGACACCCGCCACCAAAGCCATCGTGTAAAGCACACTTGCGGCTAACTGCCACCGAGTGAGACGATAAATGCCAGAAAACTCGTTGTACAGTACAAGCAGCAGCGAACCAGTCATGAGTAATTCGAAGACGAAGAGCGGCGCGAACACAATCCACCACGATACCGGCGGCTTCGTCATCTCCAACACCTCGAACCGACGTTGCGTGTCAGTCTGGTACGCCAATAGCAATGTAAACACAAACAGCAGCACCCAGCACACTCCCTACCAATGGCAAAGGTAGACAAAGTATAGCCACAAATGGTTTAAGCCATTATCCCATAGCAAAAAAGAAGATACTTTTTTCTTACCGGTAACGTACTATCCGATCGACAGAGCAGATATCGTACCACAAAGGCCATTTGGATCACCATTAACGGTGCGTAACAGATGTAGAGATTAGTAATAGTAGTGTTCTGTAGGCTGGCGCAGAATGCCAGCTCGCTCCAGAGTAACAATACCGCCAAGGGGAAACTAATGGCATAGACTAACACGATACGACGCAGTAGCGGCAGCAGTGGCTCATTGGACATGGACTCAACGTCAGCCCAGCGCCGAAGCGTCTTGGCGTAATGAATTGACATTACGTGTGCATATACCATAGCAACATTAGCTAGCCAGAAGGGTAGGAAAACCAGCCACCAGTTGACAGATGGACCCAAAACACCCTCAAAGTTAAGCGACACGAGTGCCACACCCACGACGCAACCTAGTGCGTATAGTAATACTCCGTTTAAAAGCGCTGCTAGCGCCTTTTCCGCAAAAACCAGAGGCTGGAATAGACCGTTGTCTGAGAGGCGGTCATCATTATTTTCCTGTGCTGGTATGGACATATAGGCGCCTTCACATATAGAAGCTGAAGAACCCTGACCTAATGCACGTAGCAGAGGTGAGCGCTCATTGAGCGTATTATTGCTTGGTACACGAGGAAGCGTGTTTGAGCCTCCATTACCCATCATCATCATGTCGATGGGACGAATCATTCAAGGAAGACAGAATGAATGAACTGGAAGCGAGGGAGCAGAGTGTTTGTAGACAGGATATGTTATTATAAAGGACGATGGAAATTGAATTTTACAGCTGTCGTGTATGTAATTCAGTTGATGATTAGTTGTCACAGGTCAAAGGTGCTTAGGTGAGAGACAACGAATCTTTTATGTAAACGAGAGTATTGCGCATCTGTCTGATTACTACTATTAATAGAACTCGGATCGATTGTCTAAAGGATAGGAAGTACATCTCACCATCGCATTGAGGCCATAGTTCACTGCGTGTTGTAGAAATCGCTGTGTGACACAAGAACTTCGTATCTCGTGCTGACCAAAGCTTGCAAGTCACAGTATCCAAGATAACGCCCATGCCGTAAATTATAGCCACACCCAAAAGACATCGCATGTAGAGTCTACGTGCGGCTACCGTGCGCCAAGGCACTGCCAATTGCTGCATTTGCAGCGACATGCTCATGAAAGCTGTGGTAGCACTTCCGACTCAGTTAAGCTACAGCCACCTGTAGGTTCTTACGCTAGCACCTCTGTGAGAAAACCACAGCGTCAAAGAGACACGTGATCTTGCAGAAGCAGTAAAAGCTATGGGAATAGAAGCCGAATAACAGAAGCAAGGATGCAACCAGTTCTACAGTCGTCAGGAAAAGCATTTTGATGACAGCGGCATCAATTAGAATGTCATCGCAATTACAATGCTTTGCTATAACGGGGATGACCTAAACTGCCCAAAGAACAACTCACGTCCCTCACTAGTGAGCCATGAAACCTAGTAGACCTACCTCACTTGTTGGCATGGCCATTACGGTCAGTGAAACCATCGTGATAAATGGCCGTCGAGATAATGAAGTAGAATGGGTCGCATTATTTCACAGAGCAATGCGCTGTATGCATCAAAGCTCGCATTCGACTTGCTCTCTCAGTTCGCCGAGCTGTTGCTTTGGACGATAACGTTTCTACGCGATGAAGATTGGTCTGCTCTTTGCTAATAAAATGAAGCCTGAGGCCACAACCGGGAAAGTTACTTGATTGTAAGCTTATTCAAGCGTGTGTGATAAGTCACATAAATATCCGACAGTTACATGCCGTGATACAACACATCATCTTCTATACATCTCAAGTCCAAAGATGGACATTTTCTTTACTATTCACAGTTGTGGTGCTGCTGCCATACTTGTCCAACACTGTTGTATAGTGAATCTCCAAGGAAGCGTCATGACTACTTACATTTAATGGTCACGAGACAGTGCAAGTGATAATTGCAAGCGTGACGCCATCCATGTAATCGACGATATGATAACTGTATCTCTAGCTGTGACTAATCTGTTTCATATTGATCCAATGATCGGATTTTCCAGTTTTCTTTCTTGATAGATGAGACAGTAGTAACAGAGAGAATGTGAAAGCTCGTACACCACAGAATAAAAAAAACATAAGGTGACCACATCAAATCGATCCTGTGACACGCTGGTCAAGAAACCTCAATTACTCGTGAGAAAAGACAATATAATGTATTTCTAATACCATTTTCTGATGACGATATCTACACTGATAAATGAATGGATTCTCTAATAAAATGTATCAATCAATCAGAAATCAGTAGTCAATTGATTAAAACTAAGCACAAAGTGAGAAAAAAGCTACTGCAAATCAAAAAAAGTGTCAAATCCGACGCGCCTGGTTCTGTCCATAACCTAAAAATGCGACCTAAATTTTAGACTCACTCGTTAAAAAGAACAAAAGCCTAAACTGAAAGTAATGGGGAATTCAACGTCTAAGAAGATTACTAGACGCCACTCTACTGCTACACGTGAGCTTGAAAAGTATACGAGACCAACAGGGTACGTTTGTATTAGTAGCATTATTGTAACTGTGACGAGAAGATGACTGTATCTCTTTCTCTGTAGACTGTATCCGAGCTGTCCGTGGGAGCTTAAAACAGCACGCCGACTTATTGTAGAGCGTAAATTAGCGCCACGTATCCCTGGAAAAGAAGTAAAAGAAGGAGATTTTTCACTTGAATGTCCAATTTGTTTTATGGTAAGAGAGAGAGAAGAAAAGGAAGAGAGAAGACAGCGTAAAGGACTGACTCATTTCTTGTCATTATATGACGTGACGCTATCAAAATTCAGTTTTATCCCGAGATTTTGAACATGTCAAGTTGCTGCAATAAACCCATCTGCTCGGAGTGTTATTTACAAATACGACCACCGCAAAAGTCCATTTCGTGCGTCACGCCACGTTTGCAGTTCTTCTGTATGTACAATTTGTTTTGACGATTGTTTTTCTCTAATTTGTAGCTGCCCATTTTGCAACCACGAGGCTTTTGATATCCTTTACACACCACTGTCGCTGACGGAAATTTCGTCAGTTTGCTCCGTGAAGGTGCGTGAAGCTACTACTGTTTTTTACTCGCCAAGATGGTGGCTGTATAACTAATGGATGACAACTCTATTTGCTATGTTATGTTGCAGAATCTGCAATCTCCGTGCCGAAGCAGCGCCATTGGTATTCCCAAGCGCGTGGAAACGCAGCCAGCCACAACAATGCCAAACCCGCAGAGCGTACATTACGCTTCCGTTGAAGACCGCCACCGCATTCGCGACTCGCTCCGCTCACAGCTCAGTATTAGTGACAAACCTGTCACGAACAGTCCGCACCCGAATAGCGTTGCAGCGCTGAATGATGCAGCGTCACATTCTTTGGCAACACCAGCAGATGCTGCACGCTTGGAGGAGATGATGCTTATGGAAGCCATTCGACGATCCATGCAAGACCTCCACGTCGAAAAGAACGACGAGGAGAGGGAAGGATCACAGAGCAGTCAGCACCCGACGCGCGGAAGCGGGGAGATAGGTGAAGACGACGATAGCGACGCTGATTACGCCGACGTTGCGCCTTTGAGCGCGTCACAAATCACTGTCAGCGATATGGGAGCGGGGCACTATTCTTCGGCACAGCCGTTTGATTCTAGTCATCGCAACAGTGTTTCGCATCCACTGCAGTCGGAAAACATGCCCAGCTGGCACCCTTGCAGCAATTGATACTTTGCAAGGTCGTAGTGCTTGTGTAGACAGAGAGGTGCATAAGATGACGGCGGCACTGTCAAATGTGACGTCGTGAGCTTGCGTGATTACATGGCGGTGAGCGATAGTTCTTGTTAGCGGGAAGGAAGATGAGAGAAGCAGACGAGTACGACGACGATGCGCTCGTTAAGTTATTTGGTGTCGCCATGTTCAATTTATATAACATGATTAATCATTTTTCAGTGGCCCTCTTTGATTTTCTGTGGCGTGTCATTTTCGAGGCGATGGTGTCGGAACATCCGCCTTGTCTCAACAGAATATTCTACTAACGATTGGCTGAGACTTCTGATGGCTGATCACAGTGTACGCGTATTTACAGTGGCCAACGAGTCACGATACGTGGTGGTGCGCAACGTCCCGGCGCTTGGTGTAATCGATGATCTTCTCAAGCGACTCAGTCTCTATGGGAAGGTGTGCGAGTACCGACTATTAGACCATGAAGACGATCGACAAGAAGCACTGCAATTTGAGGGCGGCATTGATGACAACGATGAGTTCACAGATACAGTTTGGGTGCAGTATGAGACGGTGAATAACGCGCGTCATGCTAAAGTGCGCGGAGTGCAAAAGTCATTCTATGGTAACCGATTACAGATCTCATACGCGCCGCACTTCGAGTCACGAGAGGACACTGCGGACAAATTGGCACAGCGACGAAAGCTACTGTTGCTTCGTGCTCGGCCAAATACTCAGTATGCAGAATGGGCCCAAGTAGCAGTGATAAGCAACAATACAAGGGAGACCTCACGGAATACAACCCTGCTACCCCCGCTTCCTCCAGTTGATACGAAAAACATGGTTAACCGTTTTGTCGGGCCGCAATTGCCATCGAAATCTCAGTTTCACCAAACACCGTCAAACCTGCAGCATCCACAACCAAGGCAAGCAGCTCCCGAAGTGGCAAGACAGCAGCAAAGCACAAAGCGACGGCGTATATAAACAGACTGGAAGTTGATGCGTCTACACAAGCTGTTTAAACATGCGGCGCATGGAGCGGATGAACAGTGCCAAGTCGCCAGTCTCGTTGAGATTTGTCACCAAATCGTTCAGCGACGCCACATCTTGATTACAATCATTGACTATAACCAACGTGCAACACAACAAAGTGTGAGTTTGCTACGCACACTTTACAATCGAAGTCAAGGGCATACTCACCAATATATCGATCAGTTATAGGGTCGATCGTGATCCGAAATGAAAACTCACGATCGGGGTTCTGGGCGTCAATCTGTGTAAACCGAACAACAATTTGATCTGCTGCGTAAAGTCACCATTTATCCGCATTAGTCAAAACAATTATGGTCACTGATTAACGATGCTCATCGACTGACCTCCTGAGTGCTCGAAAAAGAGTCCCAGCTTCTGATACATTCTTAGTCCCTGCTTGAGCTCCTGCAGCTGCTGCTTCTGCGTTGTTTTATGCTTTTGCAAGTCTTGAAGCAATTGCTTAAGCTTTGCGTCCTCTTCCACTGTCCTTTCAAACAATTTCTTCACCACGGGCTCTCTCCTGCTCTTCTCGGCTTGCAGCACCTCAATTTCTACTTGGCTAGCGTTTAACTCTCTCTCCTTAGTATGTGTATCTGCAATGCAATGCAATCATCAAACTTTCGTGCATATATCATTCAATGAGATTGCTTGATTACATTAACACACCAGTCGACAGCTTCTGATGCTCCATTTGCAGCATCTCGCGCCTGCGCTGCGCTTCGTCCGTGGCGCGTGCGTGCTCCTGAGACTGCAGCTGGTCAGTGCGTTTCTCCTCAAGAATGCGCATCTTTTGAGCCTCAACCCACGCCTCCAGATCCGTGCGCGTGTTTAAATTCTGCTGTACTAGCGCATCTGTCTCGAGCGGCGCCGGCAGCTCTGCCGACCGCCAAATTTTCTGCATGACTTTCGAGTTTGAATATCGGAGCGCGAAACGAAGTCGGTATGACGAACTAGGGGTGTTGATTTACCGGTAGCTTGAAAGGTATATGATATTTATATTTTGGCTTCAAGTGCACGTGTTTTGCACTTTATGTAAAAACCAGTGTTGTTTTTTTTCGCTTTAATTACAGTGCTTTATCCATTCGCACTGGGCTTGATGCTTGAACTTGTTCAAGGGCGTTGGTCCTATGATTATTTTGGCGGATCAGCATCGATTTTTGCCAGCAGTATCTATTTTATCTTGAAGCCAGCTGAAGTACCGCGCACCAGGGCGAGACCGGCAAAGATAGCAATACAGTTGATACTCATAAGCAGAAAAGCTGCATGAATACGTCATAAAAGTTTAAATACGAAATGTGCTGCGATTTGTTTATGTGTTGCTTTAGCTTACCATCCGTACGTTATATCTCTTTTTGTGCAGTCATACGCGACGTGGACACGAAAGCGGCCGTTTAAACAGCCTTTTAACTCGCTTTTCATCCATGTTCGTGACTTCAACACTCCTCGACATCATTCATTGACTACTTCAGCTTTAGTTTCTGTAAATATATCTGTCCTGCCGACGATAGTGCAGCGGAATGCAAGTGGCAAGTGCTAGAAGAGGGCTTAGACTTAAATAGTCTCTTGTTTTCAGAAACTAAGGATTCTATTCAAGAATCAGGTGGTCAAAAACTCAAGAGATATATGCCGTAACAAGGCTCCACGCTAATCTTTATATTGCTTGCACCCACACATGCAAGCTTAATTATAGGCTAATTATAAAGTTATGTAATATATGTAAAGGTGGTGGTAACGCTACCTCTCGTGTACCTTATGTACCTCCTACATATTTGTCTCTACACCATAACGTAACGTGTAACCCGAAAAACCCTCCCCACCACACATATCAACAAGCGGACATTTACCTCATCAAGGTTGGATTGTTTAAGCCCACGTCTACGCATTCTTAAGCATCACACTGACCGTGATTGAGTATTACTCTAGCAAGCAATGTTGCAAGCAGCCATGATGGATTCATCAAATGAGTCAAAGACTCCAGGGGGAAACGTCTCCTCTCGGCCTCACAAGGCCTGCATGATTACCTCAAGGAGGAAGAAACGGTAGATTAGGAAAGTGAAATCGGCTTTCCTGCCTATGACAGCCCTCGTCAGGAGGCTCACCTGTGTCTCAAGAGGGATCCCCACCCCCTTCAGATAATTCTTTCAAACAAGATGCTGTTGCCATCATACAGCGCTTTGGTCTACTCCCAATTTAGAGGCTGGTATTGCTAATAATCATCTTGAAGAGGTGCAGCAACAACAATTATCTGCTGAAAAAACCAAAAGCGCTCGTAAAGCTCGAGCGAGGTCACACACCGAAACTCGACGCGAGTATGGTATCTACCCTCGCGACATCCGCAAAACTGTTCGACAGGCTGCTAGACATGCGCTGATTACCTAGTTACCTGGTACCAAAACCAGCAACTAGTACGCCTGGCGCCATTAAGGCGAGGAAATCTTAGGCGTAAAGGTTCCAAAAACCAAAACAACTACTCTTCGCGAGTTGCAGCTATGGTGCAAGAAGTGGTCTGCAGATCAAAACCATTCCGATAAAAGTCGACAAGTTCGACGGCAAATAAATTAATCGCCTTATGCTGTGGTTCCGACAGGTTATGTCGGCTATATTTGCAGCCGACATCAACTATAACCCATGCCGCATCATCATGCTTTTAACAAACTGAACGATGCGACTATTCCGGCGCAGACGCTAACCAGTTGGATGGACGTATTTTTGAATGACATGTCGGGAAGCACGATATTTTCGTCTTCAGATTTGACGGACGGCTTCTACTAGATTTTGATGCGGCCTCAAGATTGTTCACTGACGACTTACCCGTGGCAAAGCCAACACGCGATTTGCCCGTCGCCTTGACACAGAAGTAGGTACTGGAATGGGGGGGGCATTCTCTCGCGCACTTTACCTGCGGCACGGCGCTCTGTAAAGAAGGCGTCAATGGATTCTACTTGCTCACGAGGGAGAGGCCACTGTCATACTTTGAATCGAGCACGAGATTCATGTCGTGCCGCACGCCTCTATCTGCAAGAAGAATCGCAGGATTTTTTTCAGGGAAGACATCGGCAAACTTGCGCGCAAGCGCGAGAACTGGAATCTTCGACACAGCTAGTTCTTTCCAGTATTCTACTGCTTTCTTGCTTAGACGTTTCAACCGCCTTGAAATGAGTCACCAATCGACTCAGAGGCCGTTTCGTCGGTCTGTTCCCGCTTCCCACCAATAGAAAGGGTTGCGGGCGGTGTGTGAGGATTGACCCGGGGCTGAAGAAGCAGTAGAGGCACTTACATGGAAAGATTTCAGGATCAAAAGAGGGGGTTGCGACGGCCGGGGCCGATATTCCGCGGCCAATGACGCTTCGACTTTAGCTTGGCAAAGTCAAAACGAAGCATTTGCTCAAGTACGAGCATCAAAAAAAATGACGGTGTTTTCAACCCAACGAAAGAAGCAGTCGCCGTCATCTGGAAGAGTTTCCCCTGGATCCAATAAGATTGGAATAGTACCACAGAGAAACCGTGTGTCTGAGCCCTGGACGAAGGCGCAAAAGAAGCTAAATGTGCCTTTACATGCTCTACTTGAGCATTGTTTTACTCTATAAGCACACCAATACGCTTGTTAACCTCTTCTTCGCCTTGAGCGATAAGGTATTCCACGTCTTAGGGTCAAGGATAACAAGCAGCTTTTGACAACCCGATCGTTGTGCCTAATCATGGACACCTCTTCGATATCCATTCTCACAGAGAAGTAGTCACAGACTCAGGTGCGGGATTGACTACAAGTAGAAAAGATACCGTAGCAAGGCTATTTATGCACTTCGTGTAGAGGAATACAAGCTCTAGGAGCTTTACGTCTTAGGGTTTTTAACCCTCTCAAGGCTAGCATTACAAGCTTGTGCTCTTTTGATTGCAACAACTGCGTCTCAATGGCACCAGAATCATAGATACTAGCTCCTTCTTAGAAAATGCTCTAGCAACTAATGCTATTCAGAGCCGATTTATTTAAATGTTTATCTTCTAACTACAGAAGCACCTACCTATACTTAGTTCGTGTACCATTTAACTGATTATGTAGTCTTTTAATATATACATATGTTTGTGTTCATAATACTTGGCTTAGGCCATGACCACGATGTGAACCCATTGTGCCTTAGGTACGTCACATCAACCAGGCAGGTGTGTATGTGAAATACATACGTTTGTGTAACCCCATTACATTAGGTACAACACATCAACGAGCGATTTAGCAAGAATAACACATTTTGACGTTCCTGATTGGTTTAGATATGGACAGAGAGAACAGCATTTCGACCAATCCATATGAAGTATCTATACACCTCCTTTTGATTCCAGTCATTCTTACTTTCACTTCTGTTTTGATTAGAATGGTGCTGCTTTTATCACGTAAGAGCATACAAATGAGCCGTTTATTCCATATCATAGTGCGTCCTAGGAGTGTATCGAAGCTTAGTCTAAAGGAATTAGCACAACGTCAAAGTCTTAAGGGCGTGCGTGTATTAGTACGTGGTGATTTGAATGTACCATTAAAGAAGAAGAAGAATTCAATACTATCTGATATTATAACTATTACAGATGATACACGTATTCGTGCAATATTGCCAACACTTGAATTGCTTCACAAGGAAGGTGCTCGTACGATCTTATGTTCACATTTAGGACGTCCTAATGGTGAAGTAAAAGATGAAATGCGTCTTACACCTGTTGCTACACGTCTTAGTGAATTGCTTGGTATTTCGATTATTAAACTGAATGATTGTATTGGTCCTCAAGTAGAGACTAAGATTGATGCACTTAAGGACGGGGAGATTCTATTGCTTGAAAATGTACGTTTCTATAAACACGAGACAAAGAATGATCCTACATTTGCCAAGCAACTCGCACATGGTGCCGATATCTACGTGAACGACGCATTTGGCACAGCTCATCGTGCTCACGCATCGACGGAAGGTGTAACCAATCATATTACGACTAATGTGGCAGGTTTATTGATTGAAAAAGAGCTCAAGTATCTCTCCAGTGCAGTGGATATTCCTGTGCGTCCATTAGGTGCTATTATTGGTGGTGCTAAGGTGTCGACGAAAATTCCTGTGCTAAAGTCTTTGCTGCAAAAGTGTGACACCATTATGATTGGTGGTGGCATGATTTTTACATTTTACAAAGCTCAAGGTCTACAAGTAGGCAAGTCCGTCATTGAAGAGGACAAGGTTGAGCTTGCTAAGGAGATTCTAGACGAAGCCAAGGAGCGCGGTGTGCACATTGTGCTCCCCACTGACGTCGTGGTGGCTGACAAGTTTGACGCGGATGCCCAGTCGAAGGTTGTACCCGCTAACGCTATCCCCGCCGACTGGTTGGGCTTGGACATTGGCCCGGACTCCCAAACGATGTTTGCCCAGGAGCTGAAGAAGTGCAAGACCGTTGTGTGGAATGGCCCCATGGGCGTTTTTGAGTTTCCTAAGTTTGCTAAGGGGACGATCAGCGTGGCTGAGGCTCTTGCGACGAGTACGGATAGCGGCGTCACCACTATCGTTGGGGGCGGTGACTCTGTGGCTGCGGTTGAGCAAGCCGGTCTTGGTTCTAGGATGAGCCATATTTCTACAGGCGGCGGTGCGAGTTTGGAAATGCTCGAAGGCAAATTGCTGCCGGGCGTAGCTGCTCTGAATGACGCGTAAGTTGTTTCAAACTTGCTTCCAGTGAGAATGGCTTTGCGGTCTGTTCAAGGTATTAATGGATAGATGGAGTATATAGGTTGAAGCATAACTTGATGAAGGCGTTTAGTCGAAGGGTGCATGTTGTTCAAAACTATGACCAGCACTGTGCAGGCAATACATGTGTTCCATTCAACAAGTTTACGGTTCCGTAGCGCAGATGTCAATTTAGACCAGGGCCGCTTCTGGA